TTTTTTTTTTTTAAACTTTCACTTTAAAGGACAAAAAGAAGTTGGTTCAAAATGATTACTTTTAATATATTAAAAATCGATAATAATTTGAAAATAATTAATTATAAAAATTATATAATAGATAATTAAACGAATTACTAATCTGGATATAATTATGGAAATAGGAGTTGATGTTGGGTTGGGTTGGTTACATTTTTAACTTTATAATGCTACAACTCATTGAAAAATGTATGAATCAACACAATTTTTTTATGAGAAATAATATTTTTTAATAATCCCTTTTTCATTCGACATTCTTTATCTTAATCAGGGTATTAATAAGGAACTAGCAGATCATGCAGCTTTTGTAATTATCCACCAATTTCTTAGAATTAAACACTATCTACTGATTTGCATCGAAGCGTTTCTTATGATAGTGATTTTAATCACTGTCAGATTAAATCTATACTGGACCCAACTATGCAACGTCCCCACTATGCCGCGACTCCACTGTGCTGGGTTTTTTTTTTTATATTAAAGTATATTACATAAACTTTAATTTAAGATATATATAAAAGTGTCAGTATTTCCGGAACATTTTCAAAAATTAAGTTGAAAAAGTTCTACTTTCTATATGCATTTTTTGTTTTGAACCCCCCCTGTATTAAGGGAAATTGTCCGATTTAAAAAAAAAGTAAGTCGAATTAAATAAGTATATAAATATTATTTCTCATAAAAAAATTGTATTCATCCATACATTTTTCAAAGAGTTATAGCGTTATAAAGTTAAAAATATGAAAAATAATATTTTTACAAAAATCGTATTTTTTTTATAAACTTTGATGACTGTATTCACCATGAAGACAAAATAATTAAGTATATTACATTTGCTTTAATTTAAGTTATATATAAAAGTGTCAGTATTTCTGGAACACTTTCAAAAGTTAAGTTGAAAAAGTTAATTTTTTTGTGAAAAAGTTGTCATTTTAAATCCCCTCTATGGGCAGGTTATGTGTCAGATTTACAAAGAATATATACCAAATGATAAATAAAGACATCAAATATTTATAAAAAAAAATTATATTGAAATGTTCATTTTTGAAAAAGTTACGGCAGTTTTTAGTAAAAAAAATTGAAAAAATTTCGAAAATGAGCGATTTTTAAATTTGTAATTTTTTTGGAGGTTTCCCCCATTTACGGGGAACGAGGGAAATTTTTTCAATTTTGAAGGGTAATGTCTTCGACNCCCGTAAATGGGAATGTTCCCCGTAGAACGAGGGAAATTTTTTCAATTTTTGAGGGTAATGTCTTCGACTAGATACGATTTGTGATCTTTTGACGTATCGTTGAAAGAAATCCGTTCGGTGAGAGCTGAGAAAAAGTGGTAACAGACACAAAAAAAAAAAAAAACACATCTTAGTAAAACCAATACCTTCTCAGCTTCGCATCGAAGCTAAAATATTATTTTGATTTGTTAATATTTGAAAAAGTTATGACAGTTTTAAGTACAAAAAACATTCTTATAGAAAGTGATTTTTATCGCAAATATTACATTTTTTTTTAAATTTCGACAGCAATTTGCACATAGTAAATAAAGTGTCGGGACAAATTTTTTTTTTTTATTTTATAGTATAAAACATAACCTTTGATTTGATATATGTTTAAAGAACGCAGTATTTTCGGAACATTTTCAAAAGTTCAGTTGAAAAAGTTCTATGTTTTTTACAATATTTTAAGTTTTGAACGCTCCCTATATAAGGGAAAATTTTCCAATTTTAATAAAAAGTATGTCAAATGAAAGATGTACTTATAATGTATTTAGAAAAAAAAAATTTGTGCTGATAATTACATTTTTCGAAAAGTTATAGCATTTTTAAGTTGAAAATTTAAAATCGAAAATTTTAACACAAAAATAGTGTTTTTTTTAACTACGGCAGACGTTTACATGCAGAAGATAAAGTGTCGGGACAAATTTTTTTTTTTCATTTTATAGTACATAAAATAAGCTTTAATTTGATATATGTTTAAAGGACGCAGTATTTCCGGAACATTTTCAAAAATTAAGTTGAAAAAGTTAGTTTTTGTAAAAAAGTTGCTATTTTAAATCCCCCCTGTGAGCAGAATAAGTGTTAGATTTTCAAAAAAAAATGATATCAAATGAAAGAAAATTACCTAAGGTTTCAATATAAAGAAATATTATTTTGATTAGTTAATATTTGAAAAAGTTATGGCAGTTTTAAGTACAAAAAACATCGTTATAAAAGGTGATTTTTATCGCAAATATTACATTTTTTTTATAATTTCGACAGCCATTTGCACATAGAAGATAAGGTGTCGGGACAAATTTTTTTTTTTCATTTTATAGTACATAAAATAAGCTTTAATTTGATATATGTTTAAAGGACGCAGTATTTCCGGAACATTTTCAAAAGTTCAGTTGAAAAAGTTCTATTTTTTATACAATGTTTCAAAGTTTGAACCCCCCCTATATAAGGGGAAATTGTCTAATTTTAATAAAAAGTATGTCAAATGGAAGATGTACTTATAATGTATTTAGAAAAAAAAAAATTGTGCTGATACATGCATTTTTCGAAAAGTTATAGCATTTTTAAGTTGAAAATTAAAAATCGAAAATCGAAAATTTTAACACAAAAATAGTGTTTTTTTAACTACGGCAAACGTTTACATGCAGAAGATAAAGTGTCGGGACAAATTTTTTTTTTTCATTTTGTAGTACATAAAATAAGCTTTAATTTGATATATGTTTAAAGGACGCAGTATTTCCGGAACATTTTCAAAAATTAAGTTGAAAAAGTCAGTTTTTGTAAAAAAGTTACTATTTTAAATCCCCCCAGTGAGCAGAATAAGTGTTAGATTTTCAAAAAAATGATATCAAATGAAAAGGGAAATATCTAAGGTTTCAATACAAAAAAATATTATTTTTATTTGTTCANTGAAATATCTAAAGTTTTAGTATAAAAAAAAATTATGTTGATTTGTTAATTTTTGAAAAAGTTATGGAAGTTTTAAGAAAAAAAAATGACAAAATTTACCGATTTTTAAATTTGTAATTTTTTTGGATATTTCCCCCATTTGCGGGGAACGAGGGAAAATTTTTAAATTTTTAAGGGTAATGTCTTCAACTAGATACAATTTGTGATCTTTTGACGTATTGTTAAAAGAAATCGGTCCAGTGAGAGCTGAGAAAAAGTAGTGACAGACACAAAAAAAAAAAAAAAAAAAATAAACACATCATGGTAAAATTAATACCTTCTCAGCTTCGCATCGAAGCTAAAAAATAGTTTTTTTAGATTTTAAATTTACTCTTTATTTCAATAATAATAAACAAATTTAAATTTAATTAGTAAAAATATTAAACAATTTAATAGAAAAATATTTTATAAATATCAAATAACCAAATAAATTACTTTTTATGTAACTATTTTGAGTAATACATTGAGAATCTAAAATTTTAACAGAAGAAAAAAGGAATCAAACTATTGAATGATTGAAGTTTTAACTTAAAATTAGCTCAACCATCTTATAGGTAAAAATCAGGGTTTGAGGCCCATTATCAAATAAAATTATTAATTAGTTATAACCAACTACTTATTCCATAATGTACATACAATTTGAATTTGATTCTCATTTCTTTCGCGCTTTAATTTAATTCCAATATATATAAACAAATGAGTAAAATAAATTATTATTCATATTTGTGTAAAACAATAATTCATTGATATTTCATATTTGATATTAATCTAGTTAAGATAACTATTAAGGCGCATTTAGAAGGCACTCTATGAGTATCCCTTGCGAGTTGTAATTCGCGTTCCACAAACTGCTACACGAGTCAGAATTGAGCCTTTAAAGATTCGACGATTTGGGAGTTGGGATTTGGAGTTAACTCACTGAATCAACTCATTTGAGTGAACCGATTCTAATAAACTGATTCATATCAGTGAGTCAAAAATCCCATCTCTATTGCTAACTTCAGTATAGTTATAAATTTAAATAAAGATAACGCTACTTGATGATAAGGATGAATTTGTATACATAAAATATAAAAAAACTAGGAAACGACTTGAAAAACATTTTTTTTAAAAATGAAATGATTTTTTTTTGTTACATTTTTAATATGGCTTTTAAAATATTATGAAATATCATTTGGTTACAAAATTTCTTATTTTCGTTGAAATAAAATAACTAACATATGGTTATTTAATTATTAATGTAGCAATTATTATCTATTAATATAAAAATGGATGTAAGTGAAAATCTAATTGATGTTGCTTAAAATTGTTTTAATTGCAAATTATATTTAAAAATCCTAAAAGTAGATGAATACTTCAATTAGTTTTACTCTTTAAGAGAGCAAAATTAAATTAAATTTACCTTTTAGACTAATGTTAAAACGAATTTATTTTTAAGATACTACTATTCAGTATTATAAAAATATGCAAGTGTGACTTAAAAAATGTATACAAATTGTATAAAAAGGACTTATAACTGGAAATACTAGAATTGGATGAATATATTATTTAATCTTTAAATTATTGAGCAATTATTTAAATATATAAATGTAATTATAAATTAATACATTACTGTTATTTATTAAAATTTTCAGAGCAATATCATAGAACTCAAATTAAAAAGTAAAACTGAAGCTCTAAATGTTTTAACCGATGAATTAGAAAAATGTAGGATTGAACGTGATCATTACAAGATAATTTTAGAAAACCAAATGCTTCATAGTACTTTCAATATAGTATGGTTTAAATTTAATTCTTGTTTAAGATTTACCTAATTAAATGGATTATTTTAGAGCTCTTCAGGTATAAATTATGATAAACTAATTAATCAATTGAGGGAAGAAAATAAATTATTAAGATTAGAAACTGAAGATATGAGACAAAGATTGCGAGATGCACATGGGGATAATCAAGTAAATTTCCCTTAATGATTTTATTTCAGAAATTTTATTTATTCAAATTAATTTTTTTTGTACTGTAGTTATTTTAGCAAAATTTTTATTTCTATAAAATATAATTTATTAAAATGTTTTCAAACAAGTGATTTATATTTTATCATATTATTTATTTTTACATAAAAGTTAATTTATGGAAATATTGAAAATTATTAAATTCTGAAAACCACATTAATCTTAGTAATATTTTTTTATACTAACAGTCTCAAAAAGTGTGTTAATTTTTATCAATGAGGTATTAAGTATTCAACATTTTTATTTAACTACCCTTAATTTTACCTATTTTTAGGTAAATTGTGACAATAGTTTTTTTAATTTTCATTTAAATTAATTGCATGCCTTAGCTGTTCATATGTTTTTAATATAATTTTAATGCTTACTGTACTATATAATGAAAGGTATTAAGAACCGGTGGATTTATCAAGAGTTGCATGACTACATTATTATCAAATAGTAATAGTAAAGAAGAAGATGTAAAAAATCTTGAAATTATTAATTCTAAAGTAAATATAATACTTGTAGTAGTTATGCTCTAGTCATAAATAATATTTTCAACAATATTCATTCGTATTAAAATTAAATATTTTATTTAGTATCAACAGTTGAAAATTGATTTTGCATTACTGCTAGATGATAAACAAGAATTAATAATGGAAAGAGATGGCTTACAAAAAAAAGTTCGGCGACTAAATAATGAATTAGCAGCTGCATTAAAACTTAATAAAAACCAGCATCTAGTTGATATTGACAGTTTATTGACAGAAAACAAGTATATTGTATTTTTGTGTTATTTTAGTTAATTATAGATACTTTAAATATTATACTTACTAGTATGTAATGTTTAGATATTTAAATGAAAGACTACATTTAGAAATTGCTGAGAGGGAAATTTTAGCCCAAAACAAATCGTTTTATCAGGTTGATACTTTTTAAATAGAATATTTATAATAAATAGATAAAATAGAAATTTTTGTTTTTTGTAATTGAATTTTAGTTGTTTGTTATTTATATCCAATTGTTCTATTTATTAAACATAAATACTAATATGTACTCATAAATTATTTTTATATGGGAATCCTAGAAATTTATTTATATAAATATGTAACTTATTCATGTTTATATTGATGTCTTATAATTATTATGCTTGAATATTTTTATCTAAGACAGTATTGCTTATTTCATTCTGATAACATTTTTGTATTTAACAATAGTTAACTTAAATTACGGGAAATAAATTCCTCATGTGCATAAATTAATTTAGCCTATTTTCTGGATTCTTTTTATATTTTTATTTTTCTATTTAAAGGTTGAATGTTTACTTTCCAATATTCAGTCTCCAATAAGTTAATAAATATTAATTATTTGACTACTATGGGTAAATACAGCTATTAATAATAAAAATATATAATTTTTTTTAGTTGAATTGTCTTCTATGATCTTTAAAAATTGATTAAATATATTAAAATTTGTTTGACACATTATCTGTGCAATAGTTTTTGTATATTAATTACCAATATTTTAATTGTTTAATTGTGTACTCACACATAAATTTTTTTCATTTTAAGATAATTTTTTAAAAGTATTGGCAGTTTATTTGAGGCCTAAAAAGAAATCTGCTTAACCATAGAATGTCGACATAGAGTGGAATGAGGATTTCAAATACTGTACTGATCTCTTGTTCAATAAAAAGAACTGCATTTAATCCAAGATAGTGAGCATTACATTCTGCCACTTTACCATCTTTTCCATACTGTCCTTCTTTTAAAGACAATTTTTTCAATTATTTTCGTATTTCAAAAACATGGTATAAACCACTATATCTGATTACTCATAGTTGCTGATAATTGTAAGTTTACTGTTTACCCACAGTTCGAATAGTTATAAATAAAGCTAACAATAATTGTTTTGAAAACCTTAATGGTTAATAACTTTGAAAAATAAAAGTATAGAATCAATTTTAATTTTGCCATCTGCAAAATTAAAGTTATAAAATATTGTATTAATAATAAAGCCATATAAATTATCAAACTTCTTATTTTATTTATAAATATATATATATATATATNTCAGATTACATTTTTTTTTACATATTAAAAAATGTTTTATATTTTACAGAAGAGTAGACCAAATAAGTTAAATGAAATTTTGGTATCAAAAATTAATAACACAACTCTAACAAGAAAATTAGAAACATGCAAACAATGTGAGTCTATGATTTTTTAATTATTGCATTTTTATCATTTTTGAAATCATAATTTATTGTTTTATCAAGGCCGGTGCTATAGGCAAGCCTCTGCATTCTGAAACTAAGTTGATGACCAAGATAGGGGTTCTTTTTTACTAAAAAAGTATTAAGAGACCTACAAATTAGTTTCATAATATATTTGGAAAATATTCTATAATTATTTTTGATAAAATATGTTAGTAGAACAAATTATTACAAAATTCAAGTTAAGGAATATTAACTGTAAAAAATTCAATTAAACATTATTTGATACTCTAATATATACTTTCCTAATATTTTCTAAAACCAACATAAATATTATAAAAAATATTAACTTAATGTATAACTTCTATTTCATAGATATGATATTTTATTATAATTTCTTACTAATATTATTGTTAATTTAGTGCAACAAATTTTGGAGTCTGGGAACTTACAAACTTTATTTTCCAATGATTCAACACTTGCTGAACTAAGAAAACTTTGCCAGACATTATTTGAAACTTTGCAAGATCAAATTTTAGCTTTTAATCATCAAAAAAAGACTAACAAGTAAGAATAAATACACTCCCTGAAAATTTAGCTAATTTATTGTCATAAATAACTTGTATTTTTACCTTTTCAATAGAATTTTAGCCAAAAGATTGGAAGATTTAGAAAAAAATTTGAAAAATTTTAGTCAAGGGAATGCAATAATGTCACCATCACAAGTGTTACTAAATAATTGTTGCCATAGTTCAGATGAAACTGATGAAGACAATAGTTTTATAAATGAAGGTTAGTATTTCATTTTAAATTAGTAAAATTTTAACATGTTACATATTTATTTGCTTTTTATAAAATGTTAAGAATATATTATATTCTTAACATTTTTTCACTTTTAATAATGGCAAGTGGCAAAGTTATCATACAAAAAAAAAATAAATGAAAAATAAATACAAGTATAATTAAATTAAGTTATTAATTATATATTTTCATTTAGGTTATCTAATAATAGTTACTTATTATATATAACTATTTTAAGATAATTTTTTATGATTTTATGGAATATTTTTTATAACTATTATAAATTATATAGATGTGTTTCTAGTTTATTCAATATTTGTAATTCTATTTTATCTTTTATTAGATGTAACTGTTAATTCACACTCAAATGAAAATAAAGAGTTATCTAATAGTAAGTAAAATTTATAATCATAATAATAATAATATTAATAAATTATTTTTGATTTAAACATACATACATGAGAATTACATACATTTATAAATCATATTAAGTTATTCCCAACACACTATCAAAAAGAAAAAATTTTTATTAATTAAATGGAAAACTTATTAATGTGTTTTTACCAATTTTATAATTTTGGTTAAAATTTGGGACGTTTATCATCTCATAACACAATATAAAGTTCTTTGTTTTTGTACAGAATGAATCACAAAGATATGTCTAATTGATTAACTTTAAATCCATTTAATATTTTATGTTACTTTACTTTTGAAATAATTTTTGTACTTGAGGACAATACAAATAACATAACAAATACCATATTTTTTTAATTTATTAAAAAAAAAAAATTTAACTTACGGAAATTGTAAAAAACATTTCAAGATTTTTTTAATGTTGATTTAAAAACAAATATATATATTATTATAGATCAGTAGTAAATTATCTGTAAAATTTTAAAAATGTTTAATTAATTTTACGATATAAAACATTATAATATGAATGAGAAAAGAACAAAAGAAAACAAAATCTTTTCACACTAGATATTAATTCTAAGTAAATAACTATTCAAAAAAATTATTCATGTTTGAATGAATGCTTGTAATTTAATTTAAAAATTTGATAGATAAAAGATAGCACATCCATTGGTTTTAAAAAATTGGCATAATTGAATTTACGATATTTTAAAATACAATAACATTATATCACTAAAATTAAATTTAAAAAAAAATTCTAATATCATTAAACAATAATATCTTAAACAATCACATGAGTTCTAGTTAATAGGATGTTATAAATATTTGTTCATCAAAAGATATTTTTACAATATTAGATTCTCCAAGTCAAATTATTCATTTATAATATATACCAATGAGATCTTATAAAATAGGTAGTATTACTATTCTAATTTTGTAGTTTACTACTGAATATTAATAAGATATTTTTTTACCAATTTTTTTGTTAAAATCTCTACAAAATGGCTATTTTGAAATTTTTTTGTAAATTAAATTTTTTTTTTAATAAATTAAAAAAATATAATATGTTATATTATTTTTATAGTCCTAAAGTATAAAAATTATTTAAAAAATAAATTAACGTAAAATATTAATTGGCTTAAATTTTATTGAAATTGACAATCTTTGTGATTCATTCTGTATAGAACCATAGAAATATAATTTGTGTTAAGGGATGACAAACTCCCCTAATTTCAATCAAAAATTTATACTGTTTGAACCCAACCTTTATATTCCTAATACAAATTTGGGACTTTTTAATTTGATTTAAACAAAATTTATACTGTACTCTACTTATAGGACTCAAAAATTTAATTTTACACTAGTAATTTTTAAATGTAATATTATTTTATAATATACATTAATACTTAATTTAGTTCTAAAATATATGCTAACCAGATATTTATGTAAGATTTTATACCTTTATATTAATTTTTCAATTTTTTAGAAAAGTAAAATAGATTTATTATTTTTGAAACAAATATAAAAGTAACCATCAATTATTAATCTAATGGGATAACATCCAATTTAAGTTATAATTGTTCTAAATTAAGTAAAAACTACTCCACCATATAATGCTTTTAAAATTATGCTCAACTCAACAATCTATTTAAGAATTAGATTAAAGCGAGGTATAAGTGATGTATCTAAATACAGATAACTTTTTAAAGAAATAATTAATCAAAAATTGTTTTCTTTAGACCTGAATTTAGATCAATATCCAAACGAAGTAAATACGTTACCAAATAATCTTCAACAACTTGTTACTAATGCTATGAAAAATATAAAAAAAGAGTCTTCAAACTTATCCAATGCTGATGATCAATATCATTGATAATCATTGGTTGAATAATAAAATTATTATAAAACTAGGCTAAAAAACTTTGTACAAAATGTTTTTTATTAATTGTATATTTAATATATTTAATCAACGACCAATTTAAAATTCCATTTAAGTTCTTTAACTATATTATACTATATATAATATATTTTTATTGTACAATAATTTATAAGTAATAATTTGTACTCTACATCATTTTATTAAAATTTAATACTTAATAATTTCAGTATCATTAATTATTGTAAAGTGGTAACTTTATAAATAATAAACCAAGTATTATTTAAATTTTATTATTCTTTTGTCTACCAGGACCTGCCAATGGAACATTTCTTTCTTCCCACAATGTGATACCATCACAAGCACAAATTTTTTTATTATTTTCAAACAATCCAGAACATCTAGCTATTATTCCACATGCAATTCTAAATAAATTGTTCAAAATTATTATGTTGAAATATTAGTGTATGTACTTAAATGCAAAATATATTTTTATTTTTAAAATACTGTTAAATTAATAAGAGATATAAATACTTTCTTATTTTCACATAAACAAATAATAATTACAAGTAATGCCAACAAATAAACAGTGATTTGCTCTACATTTGAAAAATTGATTTAAGGAATGTATTTGTTGTTTTACAAGTATATTTTTTAAGTTTTTTTATTATTAATATGTTCATTTTTAATTAATATTGTTTAAGTTTCAACGACTATAGAAAAATAAATATGCTTTAACTTGACATATAAAAAATAATTTCCTAAGTAAATCTTACTTTTTACCACAATTTCCATCAACTTCTGAGCTATTAATATTTGTTTTACCACAATCATCTTCATTCTCAGTAACGGCTATAGAACGACCAATCAAATCTGATACATTAAGAAGATGATCATAGAGATAAAATGTTGTTCTGCCTTGTGCATCAACTTCAATATTACCGAGATCTCCAGTATGCTGTAAATGTATAATAAAAATGACATAAAATCAATATAAATAATCTATATACTAATATAACAGATTGTTCAAAAATACAAATTTACTCTATGGCTTTTATCATCTATTTGACTACCATGCTTTGTTTGAAGTAGATTAAGATGATTACCAATGCTAAACAAATTAAGACATAAGTTACTATTTTTGTTTTATTAGTTTAAGTTAAAATTAAAATGTAAAACTCAAACCTTTCACATCCATTAGATACATCTCCACATTCGTAAATGTGAATACCATGTTTTCCAGGAGTCAAACCATCAATTGTACCGTCTACTATGCATTGGTTTTCATTTATTTGAATAAAACGTACAATGCCTTTTATATTAGAATCACTGTAACCAGTTGTTCCACCCAACATAGCAACAGCAACATCCATGTTGGCATCTTTTATAAAAATTATAATTTAATAAATTAAAATTTTAATTTAAAATTAAATTAAAGAATAGTTTAAAATATTTCTTACTAGTAGTACTTCCATATCCTTTAAGCACAGCTTTAACACCCGTTGATTCAATGGTATTTAATACGTAAGTTGATGGTAAAGTTGTTTTAATAATAATGGAGCTTACATTGTGTAATGTTTGTATACTAGATTTTGGTATCCCAATTTTACAAAGATTTTCTTCAATCTTAGAATAATGAGCAACACAGGTAGAATTTATTACAAATTCTAGCTAAAATTAGAAACAATTATATAAGCTTAATTATACACAAAATTAATAGGAACAATGGAACAGGTGATGAAAAAGGTTTTAATTATGTAAATAAACACAAGCAAGACTTTAATTCTTGTCTGTAGTAGAGAAAATAAAAATAACATAAGAACAAGAATAAAATGAATGGATGGTAAACCTATAGCATTAGTAGAAGATTTCTTATATTTGGGAAGCACTATAAGATCATAAGGGAAGTGCAAAAAGATTATTTATTTTAAATCAATAAGTGAAACACTAAAAGAACTAAAGCAACATTTATTAAGAAAAGAAATTTTTTTTATGTTTCTCAATAATTAAATTTTATTTTAAACATGAAAAACTTCCATTAACAATCAATTAACCAACATATTTGTTTTTCTATAATAATAATTTTCTATTAAGAAATGTTATTAATTTTTGACTGTTGGTCTCTTTTTAAAATTTAAATTCAAAAATGTTAAACATAAAATACTAGTATAATGTATACAACACAACAACATCTGGTGTATTATGAGATTAGAGAATTCCAATGAGGCTGAAAGTTAAGTTCTATAAAACTGTAGTGGACCAGCTATGATGTATGGGTCATAGTGTTGAGCAATTGATAAGAAAGTAGAGCAGAGAATGAGTGTAGCAGAAATGAGAATGCTTAGATGGATGAGTGGATTGACTAGAAAAGATAGGATAAGGAATGAGCATATAATAGGGAGTATAGGTATAGCGTCAATAATGGATAATATGAAAGAAAATAGAATGTAGATGGAAGAAGAGGTAGACCAAGACCATAAAAGAGATGGAGAAATGTTATAGAATGCGATACAAAAATGATAGATGTTGTGAGAGATTGTGTCAAGTGATAGTTTAGGATAAAGATAGTAGTTGGGATAAAGGTCAGGAAAAAGAAGACTAATACAATATATCAATACCTTGACAGCCATCTTGGCGAGAAACTTGTTGTAATTAACCTCGTCTATAATTTGAATTTTATTTAAATTACTGAAAAATTGTTCCTACTTCTTAACATTCACATTTAAGTATTATAATCTCTTATAAATATTAATCCATTCATAATGACTATTTTAAACGTTATCTATCAATTATAACATGTTACTTTTAGATAACAGAAGATGTACCTGAATTCTTATTCTTATAAATAGATAAATCTATAATATCGATTTTTATCTACTTCGTCATGTTAGATTTCTAATTCATATTAAATAAAAATAATTCTTTCAGTCTATGTAGATTTTAATTATTATTCAAATATCTTTTCACAAAACTCGAAATTCCAATTCAGTTACAAAACACTAAACTACGAAATTTTCAATAGCTATCATTACTTTTTTCATGAGTTATCAGTAATAACTTGCTAACAATGTCAACATCATAAAATCTTACAGCAAATAATTCTTTAAATAGTCTCATTGTTGATTATGGATGTAGAGATTATTTATAATATTTTAGATTATATTATAATATTGCATCCTTACTTTTATTTGAAATTGAGATTATGAATAAATGGATACTATAGACTATAACTTATACCGCAGGTAACTTATTCCCACATATATTAGAATTTTTGATTAAAAATACCATAAAAAAGTATATGTTGGTACTTCCTAATAAATTTCATAACCGAGTAATAGAATTTAGTTTTTACACTAAATTGATAAAGAAACACAATTAATATTTTATATTATTATATAATAAATTTTAATTTATATTCTCAACAATATAAAACACAAATAATTTTATTCACACGCCTTTGGTCTTAAATACTACCATAATAATTAGGTGCTAATCCCACCAAAAAAGAAAAATGAAACAATGATAATTTAGATTCCATTATTTGAATAATAGTTGAATTGTCTAACTGATACATGATACTTTGTTTATAAAAAAAATTTATTCTATATTCTACTGACTTATAAAAAAAGTTTTTAGTAAATTATTAACTATAAATTAATCATTCTTTTTATCATCTTTATTTTTCTCTTCTTCAATTGCTTGAGTTTCTTCTTCGGGCGGTATTGCAGCATAACCAAATTCATTCACTCTTGTGGGATCTACTCTATATATCCATCTTTGATATAAAAATATAAAAAATACAACATCTACAAAAAACCTTACTAATTAATTACCAAGACAATATTAATTAATAAAAATATTCCTTTATTTAACGTACCATCCCTAAAACAACCTAAACGATACATGGTGGGCATTTTGATCACAAATGCAAATATATCATCAATAAATGTATTTAAACACTTATAAGACATCATTCTCCAAGGTAGATGAGCTACAGATTTCAGTTTGTAGTTGATAAATAACTGTGGTGTCATAGTAATAAAGCCTAAATGAATAAAAAATTATGAACATGTCTTAAATGTATTGAAATTATATTATTAGTTTATTAATAGGCTTATTTTGTATATTTACCAAACATTAATAGAAAACCATACAGCATATTAAGAACCCACGAATACCATCCTTTGTGTTCTTCATAAATTAATGAATAAACTGCATACGCAAAAAGTAGAGGAAACAATACCCATGATAAATATTTAAAAGCCAATTGATCATACTCTTTTGTACTAGATTCTGCATAAGAACCTTTTTCTTTAAAAACAACCTTAGGAATTACACCTAAATACAGAGTTTGGCGATCTAAGCTAATGTCTAACACCTAGAATATAATATTAACAAACAAATCAAAATATTTTTTATATAATGAAGAATATATATACCTTATTAATTTTCCAACATTCTATAGCTAAACCAACAAAACAACTAATACGTATTATAGTGTTTGTATCGTTATCAAGCACATATAATAGTACAACAATAGATTGGAACACATTGAAGAATACAGCTCGAACTGATAAACCTTCTAAAGATTTTCTTTCCTTCCAAAATTGAATATCTAAACACAATTAAAAAAAATAATAATAACAAGTTTGACTTAAAAATTAAAAAATTTAAGATATGATGTATAATGATAAATTATAAGAGCTAAGTGATATGTCTCACCATTTTTGAAAGCTAATAACTCAAAAACACTGTGTAATATTGAAACAATTATAGTAGCAGCTAATATATAAGGAGAAGTTTCTAATAATGCTTCTTTTAAAGAATCTTGATCTTGATCATCTTCATTAGATTCACCTCCAAAAGCATCTCCTAAAAATCCAGAAGTCCATTTATTTCGCATTGTCTGAGCAGAAAACATTTGCCACTTAAACAATGATAATGGTTGGAATGTTAAAGACAAGTCTAAATGCCTAAAATAAAATAAAAATTAGTATAATAATAATTATTATTCAAAATTAAAAAATGTACTTCACAGTTTTATTGATTGGCTGGTAATCTCTAAGCATATTCCAAAAATCATTAAAATATACCATTGGCTTATATTGATGTTCAGGCAAAAATTCTAAATCTAAAAAATCATTGAAATAAGAAAAACGATAAACACAAGGAAAAAAAAAAATTACAGTCACTAAATGGTTGTGGTAGAGATCCTTTTGTCCAATTGGTTTGATCAGTAACTAAACAGATGGTTAAATTTGGATGCCAATGTGACATTATTTCAGTCTCAAGTTTTTCAGCTTTCTAAAATTCATGAAAAATTATATTGTATAAATATAAAACAAATAGACTGCATACACAATTATTTATTGAACTTGAATTTATTTATCAATTAAAATATTGAAAATTTTAATATAGGGATAATTCCTTACTTCTATATGCTCAGGTGTAGCTGATGTTTCACCTGTAAGTAAATTATGTGTTTTTGAGAATTTTACTTTTTTATACTTGTTTAATTGTTTAGATGCATAAACAACATAAGGATCAAGTTTATTAATATTCTTATGTGATTTTTTGATGAAATAAACATGTAAATATATAGATCCATTATTTTGCAAATTCTTAAAAAAAAAAAAACATTAAAAATTATTACAAGTCCAAGTAAATAAAAAGTATTACTTCTGATGGAATAAAAGATGTTTGTAAAGTATATGTTCCATCGTTGTTAGGACCTGAATTCCAGTCACCATACAATAAATTAGTTTTTTTCCATATAAGGTCTTTATCATTAAATGATTGTAAAAATTTTTCTTCTGACAAGTAAACATACATATCCTGGATACATATTTATATAATCAAACAAAAGCAACTAGTATTATATACATTTACTGTATTAAATCACAAATATATTTACAAATTGTGCTCCATCTTCAAAAAAATTAGCATTTGGAATTGTATCTATAGGTGCTACTCCATTCGTTGGGGTAGTACTTGGTTTCTTAAACATCGATGTAATAAAGTAAATAATTAGAGATCGAACAATTAATGTTTTAACAACTGAAAAAAACATATTAAATCTTCCTTGTTGAGGTTCATTTGGAGCAGGTTCAACATCACCACCATTCTAAAAATTTTAGCAAACAAATTTAGGGTTTGATGAAGTATTAACTCTAAATATATATATATATATATATATATATATATATATGCTGCGAATTCAAGATAGACATATCTTGTAAAAATTGTTTTAAAATTAACAACTTCAACGTTTCAACATTTCAAAAGAGTTAAATTGTTTTTTTCTTTGTTTTCAGCACTTATATTAAATTTAAACCAACGTTTATGTAAGTTTCTTGCATATTAAATAGAAAATAATAAATTTTATAGACAGTAAAATGTATAAAATTACATTTTGAATTATTGTTAACTTGTTCATAATGAACTGACTATTTTAACAATTAAAATAGCTACTTGGAATCTGACAATTAGAAATAATATTATATACCTCATTGTTTGATGAATGTGCTGCCTCATTATTTCTGGCTACCTCCGTCATAATTCAGTGGAAAATACAGATAATATAGTTACTAAATACTGTGAACTATATAATAGAGAATGAAAAATTATTTCTGCTTAATAGCATGTGTATCGTTTGTAAGATTCTTAAATTTTATAAAACAAGTATTTTAAAAATTAATGCTACGACATGCTAGAAAATTTTTAGCTAAATATAAATTGAAATAATAAAGATAAACAATCACTTCCAATTAAAATTTGATGGGTGTTTGTAAAATGCAAATCACTTTTTAGGGTTCGGTTTTTTCCAATCTATCAATGATAACCAAAACGGGTTGGGATCGGCTTAACACTTTTCATTGTTAGCAGTGGGTTAGTGTCTAACATAAAGAAACAATTGGTCTAAAAATTGATAACCACATCAGTGTGACCATTTATAACGGTTTTTGATAACACTGGTAATCTAAATTCTAACGGTATCTTTTATTATATCTATCCTCTCTTTTTATAGGACCATCGCGGCGACACGGGATTGGCGTTTGGCTGACACACACCCGTACACGCACACGCTTAAACGTACCTACTTTTGCGACTGGGCAGCTGTAAAATAATTTACTGAATTTCATTTTCATTTGTTGCACGATATAATCGTTGGTGTACTAACCAAATACCGAACTCGGCGACAATCTTATCTCCACTCGTCTGACCGACTCGTCGGCATACGGATTATTTGTTCACCTCTGTCGATTACATTTGTAGTCGCTGTATACTTAATATTTTTATTAGTTCTGCACGTTGTACGCCATCATTGAATTTAGCAATATTGCATCGTCGTGTGATCATTTTGAAACGACGTTGTCGGGACCCGGTAATACTGGGCTAGTCAAAGATTTCGATGTAAGTATCATATTATTTTATAAAAACTTCAATGTGTGTTTGTACACACACACTTAAATATAATTAATCACACAACTATTATGTAACTTATTGCTTGATTCGTATTATAATTTATGTTACCTAATCGATTGTAATGATAAACAATTTATGTTACAGCTTTGGCCAAGTCAACCGCGGAAGCGAACAAAAGTCGCTAATAAATTCTCCATTATTTCCGAGTCCCAGAAGGGTGACACCATTTATATGAAGTTTCTCGCCACGGGTAAGATTATTTTTTAAAGTATTAACGAATACCATTAATAATCTGTTACGATAACGTGGATGGAAAATAACCTTGAAATACCGCAAAGACAAAACTATTTTCTATAAATATTATGACATATATTAATGAAATCCAGGGGTCAAATTACGATTATGAACTTTTTTAACATATGGTTAGTCGATTCTATAGGATTATATTTAGTAATTAGAATAATTGTTTTCATTTTTTTTTAACTTAACTAAATTAGTTAAAAAATTAAACTTTGTTATTAATAGTATTCTAATTGATAAATCATATTATGATATATGCTTCTTGAAATTAATTTTTTAGTAACACTTAAATCATATAAATTGAATAATAATTATAATGTGGTCAGATAAAGGTATGAATACTTTTATACATAACTAAGTAATTCTTAATGCTATTGATGCTTAATAATTAATATTGTTATTTATCCATTGTTGAAGGGAAATATTAATTACTTTGTAACCTCAAATGGCCCTCTTGCCTTGACAATGTAATTTATATTAATTTTTTATATAATAGAGATTAAATAATCATTAAGTTTACTTTATTTATTAAATTAATTTTATTAATTGAACACTTATAAGGTTGAGGTTTTATTAATTACAGAAGAATATAATTAAGTTCAGTGGCATATCCAATATTTGGAGAGGTTTTACCAAAATAAAGATTTTAATGAACCTTTTAGATGGTTTTTTTCTTAAAATATTAGTTTAGCATGGTCTTTTAGCCCTCCTATGTAAGTCACTGATTACTTAGAATTAATAGACTAATCAAAAAAATTTTTTTTTCAATGTATCATGCTATGATAGTAGAATATGATAGCTACTATTGTTTAAATAACTCATGAAAGTTGTCTCAATGTGGCACTGATGATAGTATACTATCATAATAGTAACTATCATACTCGCACTCTTACATGATGTGTATGATAGCTGATAGTGAATTTTTGTGATAAAGGTAGTAATTTCCAATGTGTGGCCGATCTACATGTTATCATACTATCATAATATCGCCTTGTCAAATATTTAACATTTTTATATGAAATATTATATAGTTTAAATTAATTTTTATTCATTTTAAATGAAATAAATTAACATAATATATGTTTTGGAAGAGTACCAAAGGTATTCTTAAATTAATATAAGGACCCTATCATAGTTATAAACTCAGAAATAAGAGACATTTAAAATATCAGTTGATATTTCTTAATATGATATTAATAATTACCATAAAACAAAATAAAATGTTTTAAAATGTTTTAGTATATCTAACAGAATCCTCAATCCCCTAATTTCATACATCATATAAATATATTGTGATAGCTCAAATTTGTACGCTATCAACAATGCTAAAATGTTCTACTTTCGCCGTGTGCCCGCTGCTTAAAAATAAGAAAGTAAAAGTGTTGTTTTTACTAACTGTATACATTTTTTTAAATCTTAATTTTTTATAGGATTCTTACTTTATATGTATAATATTGATATTTTCCTCGATACATTGCATGTATGAATTTATTGATTTTATTATTATTCAATATTAATTTACAAAATATAATTAATAATTGCCAATTTACTAACAGTCAACACCTAACTATTCTCTAATTGATGCTAATTAAAATGACATTAAAAATAATTTTATAAAATTTTTAAATTTATGTTTAAATTTTATTCACTTATAAATATAATAAATAAAAAAAAAAACACCTCGTGTTAAACATCAATTGTGAAGCTAAGCAATTCTTTCATTTTTTAGTAATATAAAGAATTCAGATAAACAAAGAATTGTATTAGTGAAGTTAAAAAATATTATAATATTATTAGGTGTTCATACTAAACCAAAGTTAAAAAAAAATTTATATGATTATTCTATGCAAGTAAGTTTTCAGCCTTTTTTTTTTTTTTTACAAAATAGAATAGTATTGTCTTCTAAGATAGAACCACAAACTCATATCATTACTGTAGAATAAGGGAAACATTTTAACCAAATTAGAGATTTTTGTTAGAATACTTAAATTAATTTTGTTCTGTTTAAATTGTATCAAACAGATTTTGCAATATTAGATAGACAAAAATGTAAATTTGGTTGATGTTTTCTTTTAAACCTACTGAAACAATTTATATCCTCAACAAAGATAAAAAATGATGTATATTTAGTGTAGTTGGACAAAAATGTTAAATATAAAAGATATGTTATTATCATAATATAATGATATGTTATTAAAGATATGATAAAAGTATGTTATTTTAGATACATTTATAGATATCTAAAGTATACTAATTTTACTTATCTTTTCTTAATGTACCGATCCGTTTCGGATGTTGGCGATCATTATTGATATACAAAAACTATGGTGTCATCGGCATAACGTAAGTTGTTTAATCTTGTGCCGTTTATAAATATTCCTTCTTCTACCTCATTTAGAGCTTGTCTAAAAATATATTCAGAGTAAAGATTAAATAAAATGGATGACAGAATACAACCCTGTCTCATTTCAATCGGATCTGTTGTTTCACCTTCCATTTTGATAACTGCTGTTTGTTTCCAATATAAGTTGGCAATTATTCTAAGGTCTTTTTCATCTATTCCTATTCTAAAATTCTAATCATTATATCATGTCTAATACGATAAAAAGCCTTCGGGTAATCAACTAGACAGACAAATACACTGCAATTTATATCTCTGCATTTTTGGAAGAGTACTTGTACACTGAACAATGCCTCTCTTGTGCCAACTGCATTCAAAAACCTAAACTGATTAAGTGCTATTTAGTCTTCACATAGCCTATATATTCTCTTATGAATAATCTTCAAAAGCAATTTCAGGAGATGGTTCATCAGAGATGAATTATTCTATAATCCCCACATGTTTTTGCGTTCGATTTTTTAGGTAAGGCAATAAACCCGGATTTTATCCAATCCTCAGGAATTATACACGATTTATAAACTGAATTCAATATTACTGTAATCCATCTAATTTTCTCATCATCCAGTAATCTAATGAATGTATTTGATCGGGACCGGATACTTTGCCTTCTTTCAGTTATTTAAAGCTGATTTCACCTCATCTAATAATATGTCTGGACCTGTTTGGTCTCCAATTTTAGGTTCCTATTCTGCCCTAACATCATGAAATAGGTTTTCTAGATATGTCTTCCATACATGTTTTTTCTCATCCATGGTGACTATTATTTTACCATCTGGATCAATTAGTTTTCCTTAGTTTTTCTTTCAAAATCGACCAGAGATTTTCCTATGTACATTGAAGTCATCCTAGTTTCTTTGATGGAGCTCAATCTCTGCACATTGTTCTTCCTTTTCCTTTGCTTCTTTTATTTTTCTCATTATGTTATTTTGTATTCTTCTATATTCTGTGTTATTGGTTTTATTAAGCCTTCTTTCTTCCATCATATCCAAAATCTCATCGCTCATCCACAACTTTTTCTTCCGTTTGTCTGACCTCAGAAATTGTTTTTTATCTCTTCTACTACTTTCTGAAAGCCATTAATCTCTTTTTCTACGTTAATGAGCATGTTGTTGTTAATTCTTTGTCTGCCTTTGGAGCGTACGCCTGAATGATGTTTACATCTACTTGTGTAGCTAATAGCTAATAGTACGAGTATAACTCTTGAAGAGATTGGTATGAAGTTCTATATTGATTTAGCCATTTTATCTGCCAGAATGATACCTACTCCATATTCACGTGTTCCAGTTGTTGAACCCGAATAAAGTACGTTGTGGTTTTCCATATTTATGTTGTCTGAATCTGGCCATCTCATTTCGTTGATATCGAGGATTGAAATATTCATTTTTTTAATGACATTGTGTATTTTTCCGGCCTGGTACATTTTTCTCACTTTCCATGATCCAATTCTTACTTTCTCCTGCTTCTTAATTCTATAACAAACATCAGTACTTCTATATGCAACCGTTCCACCCGGAGATCCGAATGAGGAACTTACTCCAGATAATAATTTAATCGCACTCGTTGTTATGATGATATATACTAGGACTTATCCATTCTGGATCTTTAATGAGGGGTTTGTCCGAAAATTATTCCTCATTCCTATTCCGTTGACCGCGTTCTGCAGTTCATCCGCCTTTAGAGCCGGTTTCCCAACTCCAGGACAAAAGAGTGCCCTTCTCATGTCGGCTCCTCCGCCCACAGCGGTTGGCTGGCATGAGTTAGATCGCTTATGCCGGCGATCGTTCGGCCTCCTTAGTCGACTTCTATGACAGGCGTGGAGTTACCGTGGGTAAATTCTACTGCCCCTACCCATAGGGGGTTTACGTACCTAATTAGATCTAACACTATGGATATAGTATAACGAAGGTATCATTTCTCTTACAAAAATAAACTAAAAATTTCTGGAAGTCTTTTGATGAAAAATCCATTAGGTTATGAATTGCCCTTTAGATCTACCCCTATAATTTTGTTTTAAGATGTGTTTTGCTTTTATTATTTATTTATTTAAATTATTTTAATTTAATTTAATAAATTAAAAATATTATTTTTATTATTATTTATTTAACAATTGGTTAGTTATGGATTACTATAATCAAAAAACAGATAAAGAAAACCCCTTATATCATTTTTTTTATATAATATGAGTTCATTTTTACCAAATTCAAATTTTATCAAGAATAAAATATATTTTATAATTAGTTGACTTTTATAATAGTTATAACTATAAAATATTAAATTTAAAAGATTATAGATTCTATTTCATTAAACGAATATTGTTTCGATTTTTATAATGTTAAAATTGCATTTATTTTTGAAAAATTAATCTTAATTGACTGTGTTAACTAAGAAGCTTCAGTTAAATATTTTTTTATTAATATATTCCTTTTTATTTAAAAGTATAAAACGTAGCATATCAATTTCGGTTTTAGACTTAAAATTTATGTTTAAGTGTTTTGTTATTTGTGTTTTATAATCCAATGAAAGATTTGAAACTTTTTCGATATTTTAATCACCATACGAAGGAATCTTTAAAAATATCTAAAGGTACAGATCTCGCCTAAAATATAAAAGGAAATTGATCTTTACAGACGCCGCGCCTAATAATTTATTGACCTGCTTGAAAAACGGCTCGGGCATGCCCATGAAACGCTTATGCGTGTGTTACAGGCGGCAGCTCCTCCTTTTAACAAGCGCCGGCCGTATGTACGTGTAGGTATATTGATTTTAGTCTTTTGTGTGTGTGAAACATCAATGTAACTTTTCATTTGCTGTCTTTTGTATACTCCTTTCTAAGTCAGTTGTTTCGCAGTAGTCCATCTAAATCGACGCATAATTAAGTTTAAATTAAAACACGCTCCCACAGAAAAAAGAATTTCGTTACATTTCTCATATAGGCGAATTCTGCCTAGTGATATTGTCTCAACCATTTGTAATCGTCAAATACCAATTGTCCTTATTGGATCCCCCGGTTTAAACATTAACTTATTGAAGAATTCTAGTAAACATATGGTGGTGCTATCTCGTATAGGTAAGTTAGCTGAATAATTATTATTACTAAGAATTTACGTATTTCATGTCGCCAAAAATCTGTTGTATATTATTAGGCAATAAAGATAATTTTAATTACTGTCATCTGATTAATATTAATTAGCTCTCGGAAATCGCCTTGTAATATATAAATATCAAATAGTTAAAAGTTACACAATTGTTACTTGATTTAGTTGAAACCTGAGCCATGAGAAAACATTTCAATTTTTGCAAATACACATAAAAAACACATAACAGTAAAATTAATACCTTCTCATCTCGCATCAAAGCATTTAAGTTAATACTATTTTTATAGTTTTAAAATACGATTTTTATTTCAAAAGTATATATTCGTATATGTATAATTGTGCACCAATTTTTCATACGTCAGTGTCAAATCGTATAATTAAATATAAATTGCATATTATTTTATTTAGTTTTTAATTATGCAGATGTTAGAAAAAAGGAAACTATCAAATTTTTATGGTAATAAGTGTGTCTATTATTTTAACCCTATCTTTTTTTCGTAAAAATTGTTTAATCAAGGGAGATTTTTAATAAGTAATATTAAGTATTTGCAATAGAAAATATAACTTTTGATCCAGTTGATCTGTTTTATTAAAAAAAAAAAAGAATGGTAGTCATGTATTACTAATATTTTACTAATTTACTTATATCTTGTCAATCAAGTTTAAAACTAAAAAATATTATTTTGTAAAATTAAAGTTTCATTATTTTTTCAAAGTTAAATGAATTCGAACTTATTTCTAGTTTTAATCCCATAGTAACTAAAAAGTATTAAAATATTGTTTAGTTTCAATTTCCAATTAAATATTTTTTAAATGTACAAAAATTATAGACAAAATAAATCAATTATTGGATGTATATTTCAAGGATATATAATTCACTGTATTTTATAATTATTAATTAAATGTGAAGTATAAAAAATATTGACAGCTTTGGTATTTTTGTTTGTTTCAGTATCGCCATCAATATCCAGAGCACGATCTGGCAGTTATAAAAAGCTCATTGAGCCATTTATTGGCCCTGCTACAAGGTGCATGAGTTCTTTAAAATATTTAGGGTTTAGTTTTCGGTAATTATAAATAAGTCATATTTTAAAATTAACAACATTATCTGGACTTTGCTCAAAATAAATTACTTTTATAGACATTTGTTGGAACAGGACATCAAAATACTGCAGCAATCAACACAGAAAATCACAACCATTCAGGGAAACGTGACAGGTTATACTTAAAATAAGAATTGAATATCTGCAACCATGGGTAGCGTAAATGTTAATCGGAATGTCAGTGATGCATTCTATAGATATAAAATGCCTAGACTCATGGCTAAAGTTGAAGGCAAGGGCAATGGAATTAAAACAGTTCTTGTCAATATGGCTGAAGTTGCTAAAGCTATAGGACGACCTGCTACATGTAAATTATACCATTTTTTGTTACTTTTTAAAATTATTTTTTTTATATTTATGTGTAAATGAATATTTTAGATCCTACCAAATTCTTTGGTTGTGAGTTGGGTGCACAAACACAATTTGATTTCAAACATGATAGATTTATTGTAAATGGTGCCCATGATGCTGGCAAACTTCAGGTATTATTATTTACTACTTCATTACATTTAATAAGTTAATTAACTTTTTTTTCAATAGGACTTATTGGATGGCTTTATTCGTAAATATGTTTTATGTCCAGAATGTGATAATCCTGAAACAGAACTTATGATTAGTACAAAAAAAGGAACAATACATCAAGGGTGTAAAGCCTGTGGTTATTATGGTTCATTAGAGTCTAATCATAAACTTAACGCTTACATTCTCAAAAATCCTCCTAGTAAATCATATTTTTAATTTATATTTAAAATATATATAAAATTATATTTGTGTTCTAGATTTAAATCCAGCTGCTCAAGGATCTTCTTTAACTGAAGGAAAACGTAATAGACGTTCCAAAAAGGGTACTGAAAATGGTGAAGGTGGAAGGTCTAGTTCTCCCGAGGAAAATAATTCTGAATTAATTGTAGAAGCTCCTGAAAAGTTGGCTGAAGATAAGGTAATTATTATATATATTAATTCAATAATTTTATCGAATATTATTAATAAAATCTTTTTTATGTTATATTTTTTATAGGAAGATGATAATTGGGCTGTTGATGTATCAGAAGAAGCAGTTAGAGCACGAATGCAGGATTTAACTGATGGGGCTAAAGGCTTAACCATTGATGAGGATACTGATAAAACTGAAAAAGAGAGAATGGATATATTTTATAATAAAGTATATATTAACGCTTGTTTAGTCTAAAATATTTTTATTCAAATTTAATGTGTTCAAACTCATCATTATTATTTTTTTTTTAAATATATAAAATTCAATATCTATTATTTTTCATTAATCATAAAATTTTATCTGTAATTTTGATAGCCTTCATTTTTTTTATGTACCTTAAGTATTAAAAGTATATAAAGTGTATCATAAAATGATTTGTGAAGCATAATTTTTATAATTTTATGTATATTTGAAATAACTTATTGTTAAATTTCACAGGTTCAAAAAGCACGTGATTCTGGTTCAATATTGGCCAAAGAACTTGTTGCCGAAGCGGAAAGATTAGAGGTCAAAAGCAAGGCAACATTAGTGTTGGCTGAATTATTATTTGATGATAAAATTCATTTACAGGTAATTTTTTTTTTTTTTTTTAACTTAGCCTATTCTTTTTAAAATTTATACTTAAATTTATATTTAGTTGAAGAAACATCGTGTCTTATTCTTAAGATTTTGTCATGAAGATCAAAAAGCACAAAGATATTTAATTGGTGGTATTGAACAAGTAATTGGGCTTCACAAAAGCATTTTATTGCCCAAAGTTTCTGCTATTTTAAAAGTAATTGTTAATTTTTATTTTTTAATTTTATAATATGATTACATTTTGAAATTTTTGTCTAGTTATTTTACGATGCAGATATCTTAGAAGAATCTGTTTTGTTGGATTGGGCAAGCAAAATCAGCAAAAAGTATGTGTCCAAAGAGCTTAGTCAAGAAATACATAATTATGCCAGTCAATTTATTACATGGTTGAAAGAAGCTGAAGAAGAAGAAGAAAGTGCTGATGAAAGTGATGATGAATTAGAGGTAATAGTATTTTTTTTTAACTAATCATGAACTTGGAATAACTTTTTTTCAACTCTTATAGATTGAGTATAATGACCGTGTTCATTCAAATACATTGAAAGCCCAACCAGCTATATCTGTCGCTAAAACAACTGTTGCTGTTGAAGATAATGAAGATGATGTAGACATCGACGCTATATAGAATACATAGAACATAATTATTTTCAAGTTATAAGTTTCAAATAAAAAAAATAGTTAAACATAATAAATAATATGATTAGTAGAAATAGTAATAAATATTATTAATCAAATACACCAAAACAATTATCATGAACTAATTTTTATTAATATATATATTGTTATTGAATTTTACAATACACGTATACTTTTGGGAACTTATTTTTTTTTTATAAATATAGAATTTTGTAAAAAAATCAAAATTCTAAAAGTTAATATACCAGTCAAAATTATATATTGCTCTCAGATTTTGATTTTGATTTTCTAGTCATTAATTGGAAGTTTCTTGAATAACTTATAATCTGTTGTGAATCATGATTTTAAAAATGATGTGTCTCCGACTGTATATTAGTTATTTAACCTTTTTATGATTTATGTACATTTTTAATTAAGATAAAAAAATATAATTAAAGCTATGAACTTATTATAACAATAAGCAATACTAGGCTTTCTACGATTCTTAAAATTATTGAGTAGTGATCACAGAAAACAATATAGTAATGCGAAAATCTATCATAAATGAGTCTAGGAATTGTTTATTAAAAAAATAATAATAATAACTTTAAGTTAGTGATTTTAACTTATTCTATAGCCTACAATTTATTTATCCTTAGTTTTAAATAATAATGCCCTTATTCAAATATAAATTGTAACAATGAAATTTGTTACTGTCTAAGAATTTATATAGTAAATCAAATAAAATTCTGCCTGGAAATCATTATATGTTCTAATAATTTTATAATAGTATTCACTGTAGTTCATGAACCCATTCAAGAGCAATCTACCGGCTACACTGTAATAGGTTAGTTATCAAACTTTATTTTATTCTTCCAATCACGTGTATAAATTGATAACGGATCCATTGATAAATACTAGTGTGCTTAATTAAGAAATGAATTGTCTTTGGACTTAAAAATCATAGATTCTACTTCTATTTTGAAAAATGATTTAATTTACATAATTAGAAATTAATTAAATATTAATTACTTTTTTGTTACCAATAATCTAAAAAATAAGTAAGTAGTGAATTGATATAAATCATTTTTACATTATACTCAATTGTTTCAATGAAATAATTGAGTTACAATAAATATAATTAAATAAACATTTTTTCATTCTGCATGTAATTTTTAGAGTACCATGAGTACCTCTTATCCTGGAGCACACACGTGTATCACATGTCAAATTGTTTTTGAATCTGCTGAAACCCATCGTATACATTATAAAACTGATTGGCATCGCTATAATTTAAAAAGAAAAATAATTAACTTGACTCCTGTTGATAAACCAACATTTGAAGCTCGTATTCTTAATCAGCAGATTAAAGAAAATCAGAATAATGCAAAAAGTTCAATTTATTGTACAATTTGTAAAAAATCGTACTCATCACAGAAGTCATTTGATAATCATCTTTCATCTAAACAACATAAACAGTTATCTTCTCAATCTGATAACGATAACAAAGATGTTGGTGTTCCAGCATCCAAAAAAGTGATTCAGCCAGTTCAAAATACCGCTGAAGTTGAAAATAGTGATGACGAATATGAAGATGTTGATGAAGATGAACTTTGGGATGGTGTAGTCAGTGACAATAATCCGATTATTAATAATATTTGTTTGTTTTGTCCACAAAGTAATGAAAATATGATTCAAAACATTAAGCATATGTCTGAGAATCATTCATTTTTCATACCTGATATTGAATATTTAATTGATATGAAAGGTTTACTAGTATATTTAGGGGAAAAAATTTGTCAAGGTTTCATGTGTCTTTGGTGTAATGATACTGGTAAACAATTTAAAACAATGGAATCTGCCCAAGCTCACATGATTGATAAAGGTTTGCTATTGTAAAATAGAATTATTATTTAAATTACAGGTATTTTTTCTTTTTGATATAGGTCATACAAAAGTGATTCATGAAGGAGAAGCACTTTTGGAATACTCAGATTTTTATGATTATTCTTCGAGTTATCCGGAAAATGAATCTGAAGATAACTACCGAATTATTGAAGATATTAACTCTCAATTAATTTTACCTTCAGGAGCTAGAATTGGAAAGAGATCACTTATGAGATATTACAGGTATAGTCAAATTTTCCAAGTTTTTAAAAAATAAGTCATTTTTAAATATTACTTCTTAAATAAACTTACTTTACATGTTTAATATAATTTAATTAAAAATTCCTTTTTTAATCTTTTTAAATTTTATTATACAATTAATCTTTCATTTTATTCTTAATACAATATTGTGTATAATTTATGAATATTGTTATAATTATATGTTTACATTTATTACAATTATTTACAGACAAAATTTAAATCCAAATAGCAATTGTGTAGCTCTAAAGGGAAGAAATGTTGATAAAATTATTAACCATTATAGACATGTTGGATGGGTAGGAACTTTCCCTGCTGCTGCTGCTAGGTAAATATATCAAATTTATTGCATTTGTTTTTTATAATTTTTAATTATTAATTGAAATAGATAAAAATAAAAATCTTATTACTTAATAATTATACTTTTTTAAAAGATTGACATTAGCCTGAGTCATTTTCTATAAAATTTATGAGATCTCTTCATTCATTATAACCAGAAAGTTATAACTAATTTAGTAATACTTTTTGGCAATTCTAATGTAAGATTCTAATATGCTTTAAATAATCATCAAACTATTTTCTTAAAAACATTTTAATAAGTAAATTAACTTATTAATTTCTGTATTTTATCTAAAACATGTTCTTAAAATCGAAAAATTTACTTTTTTTTAAGAATTTATCAATTATAAGGAAAGTGTAAGTGTAAGGAAGTGTATGTTATTAACTTCTATTACTTCCAAAAATCTAAGTATTAAAATACATATAATTGAATCCTTTAGTGATATATAATTTATTATTTTATAGAAAAGCAAGAGACCTAAAAATTATGAAGCAAGTACAGTCAAAAATGTATATGCAATTAGGTGTTAAAGCAAATAAATTCCAAAAACATTATCGACCACAAGTAAACTTTTAGATTTTAATTATCTAAGAGTATTGTTATATTATTGTTTATTTTCCTATTTCTCTTGATAAAACTTAAATGTATTAAATGATAATATAATATAAAATTATGACTTTAAATCTTAATTATTTTCACTATAATGTAAAAGAATTTTGATTAAATAGTTGAACAAAAAATCCTATTATTATATAAGACTTTTATTGTTGTATCCGAGTCCATATGCAATGCACCTTTAAAACCTCATCAATATGGCTTCCTTGCTTACTGAACACTATATAATAATGAGTATTTTTAATTTGAAGTTAAATTTGTTTATTTTTATTTTTTCACGTCTATGAAAAGGTTCAAACATTTGTCAAAAATTACATGATTTTTGCCTTGAGAGTCCAACTAATCAGAGAAGATAAGTTATTGTTAAAATAGCTAGTTGTTATGTTTCATTAAAGGTTATTTGTACTAAGGGTATCATTTCATAATTTACTAGACTGATACAAATTTTTGACTGGCCCATCATTTTACAAGTTAGTAAGGGGAAAATATTTTTTTATCAAATATAATTTGGATTCCTATTATGCTTCATAGATGATAATATTTAAATGGCCTGATATGACTCGGGCTAGTATATGTATAGGTCGATTTATATGTACTAAAATTTAGACTGAAGCTAATGCACAAGTTCCCCTTCTCCAAATCATGTCCCTAATTCTCACTTGTTATGTAGATCAATTAAATTCATTAGTTTATTTCAATATTATAATAATAAAACTATCATATATTTAATATTTCAAATTGTAATTTGATATATTTTAATTATTAAAATAATAGAAAAGTACCAGACTAGGCGAAACTTATGTTTTTAAAATGACTGGTGCGATTTTTTAGGTAAATACCTCTACTTAAAAGAGTAGATATGTTCGTTTGACGTTTAAATGTCTTTATTAATAATATATTATTAGATAGCGCCATTGTCTACTCAAATATTGGTTATAGTTCATTATTGGATATTTATATGTTTATAAATATATTCTATTTAATTTTTTAGATGACTTTTTATAGGAGTATATTAAATAAAATACAATCATGATGATAATAATTGTTGTACCAAGTAACTATCGTAAGAAATTTATTTCCATATGTATATTAGCTTCTTATTCATACTTAGTAAAAATAATCATTACTTTAATTGGGGAGCGGCTCTTTAGAGAAAATTTATCTAAATGTCTACCTACATTTAATTAAAGTTAATACAATATACTTATGGATGAAAAAAGAAAAACTATTTGAAATACTGATTTACAAGAGTTTATTTACAAACATAAACATAAAAGTTTAGACTGGATGTCGTGATTGAAATCAAATTCGAATTTATTACAAATACGAATCATCCTATTCGAGACCCGTTGAATCCATAAGATTTTGTGTGGAACTGAACATGAAAAGTAGTCGGACTTCTAATGAAGAATGTTGGAACATGCCAGGTAATAATAAATCTTAAAAGATCAAAGCAACTTATTTTGGTTTTAACTAATTTATGTATGAAAAATTCTTACGCCCAACACTAAAGAGTAGAGACCTAAATCAAAACGAAGTTCCAACATTAAACACTAATACCGAATATTTCAATTTTTTACAGACGTATATTTATTTCAAAGGCGTTTTAATATTACTCATTATTGATTTTATTTATTGTTAGATATCAATCTACTTTAATTACAGCCATGTCAAGTCTTAACTGCCGTGACTATTTTTAATAAATTTTCTAAAAATTCAGTACTTGATGTAAAAAAAAAAAGTGTTGGTTATATTTTTTATTTGTTGCTCAAAATTAACAATACTTAATACTTTATTATTACATTACGATACTTCCTTTTTTTATGAGATAATACAATTTTAAAGAAACAGTATTGTGCTGTACATCACAGACTGTTCTATTTACGTTGTAATATGAACGAGGGAACATATTCGATGAAGGGAAGCGTAGCCAATAACCTATTGACACAGTTTTACTTTGCTGTACACACACAGAAAAATAATTGCAATTCCATTGAATTGTATTTCTACAAGTGGTATACGACAAACCCGGAACAACCCGAATGCTGAAATGGGTATACACATACATGCATTTAAAACTTCAAATGTGTACCGCTTGGGTGACCTACTGTGATGGAAGGGGTCCTAACATTTTCAGCTCTGTAATCGAGGACTACCATGCCAACCCTTTTGTCACTGCACAATAAATACATCTCACCCGGCACCTGCATCTACCCGTTCTTCAGCTGCGGATACTTGCTCCCCTCAAACCCTTTTGGCAAAAATTAAGTGTAAAATATTTTGCTGAAATCTGTTAACTCCTACGTTCCATGAACTAAAAATGAATAAACATTTAAAAATAATTTTTTGACTATGAAAGGCTTTGTTTATATATTTTTTTACTTATTATAACTGATTAAAACAATCTTGTTATTCGTGTAGTAGACTATGCAATAAAAAATAAGCTCACATTAGCAATAAAGTTTTATAAATCATATAATTTTTTAACAACATTTGTGTGACATTAAGCTGTAAATTTAACCAGTTTCATAATTTTTTTTTTTTTAAGAGTACCTATAAATAAAGTTCTCGTTTTTAATCCATCTAAATCAAATATTTTATCTTTTGCTATTTTGAAAGACATGACGACATATAGTTTTCCACAAGTATTAACTAATAAATCGTTCCTATGATGTAAAATACATTGCGGAAGTATTAATCGTTGGCTTAAAATAGATAAACGAGTTTTTAAATAAACATTTTTATAAAACTCATAAACATTATAAGATAAATTGAAGCTAAAAAAAAAATTTACTATCGTGACTTTGAAACAATATACTTGAATTCGGCATCTCGAAAAAAAATCCTTAATTATAAAGAGTATAATTTGTTGTAAAATTTAAAGTTAATTGATTTTTTATAACGAGACTATGCTCAGTATTGCGAGTTAGAGAATTCGTTGATCACGTCGAATGAAGACATTTATTTCCAAGAATTTCGAAAAGTATTCTTGGGACGAGGATTTTCGAACAAAGGGTATGAATGAATGGACACGGTGATGGATGGGATCGAACGGTTTTGCACACTCATCATCGAACTATTGTCGTTGAAAAATGGTATACGTTTCGGACCTTTATCGCGTTTCATCGCCGTCCTTCTTTCCACACACATTCTAATAGACGGCCATCGTTAATGCGCACCTAACCAGAATTGTCGTTGAAACGAATTTCTACAGAAGTATAAAAATCAAAAAATCTTTTTGTAAATATTTGCTACTCTTAGCCCACATAATACACGCACACTTGATTTACTTTTTATAGCCACAGTAGTTTCTGGTTTTCAGTGTGGTGGGCCGTTTACATAGAAAAGTGTACACTATGTACTCGCCTTATTTACACACGTTTTACTTTTTTCACCCAATTATCAAAACGTCGGTGAATAAATAGACGACTATCAGCAATTCGCTATCTCTTGTCCTATTTGCAAGTTAATAAAATATGTTTTTCATATTATTATCAGAAATAAATTTAAAAACACAAAATGTCTCAAATAAAAAAAATTATAAAAGTATAAATATATTTATCTATCAATATATAATGTTCATATAAAATATATATTATAAAAAAATATAGGTACTCGAGTACGTTTTATAAAAGTTTGAGCAAAAAAATAAAAATAATATTAATATAATTGTGCGCAACACGAAATAGTGAAAGAGCGCTAATGTAGAGCATGTATTAGCTTAGCAAATAAATTACACAAATTATACAGAACTGTAGAAAAAATAATAACGTTAAAACGCGAGTGCTACTTTGGTAGTAGACTTTGAATAATTTAAATTATTATTATAATCGTCAAACTTATAAAAATAAATAAATAAATGTTGTTTTATCAAAATTATTTTTCCTATCATTAAGGAGTACAGTTGTTAGAACAATAAATTAATTAGGTTAAATATTTATAAATTAAGTGAGTTGAACAATAATTTAAGTGAAGAAATCGAATCGATTCCATTGGGTTGAGCTGCAAAAGTACTGTAAAAATATCATTAAAAAAAAAAAAAAATATACAAATATAGACTAGAACGCCCTTGCGCGGAAAATTTTATCGTATGATACAGTTTAACCGTTAATTGTAAACACTATAATTAATATAATCATTTAGTACTTAAAATAATTCACTCATAATAAATACTAAATAAATGACGAGAGTGTTTAAAATTAACGATTTCACATCGACATGAGAAGTCTCCTTTTGATTTCCTTCATCTCGCTCACTTTTTTAGTGAGGTACATCACACTTATCTGATTTTCAATGTACTTTTGCCGCTTGGCGTCCCTAGACCGTTTGGCCGCTTCGTTGTTCTTCTTCCTCTTCATCACGTAGGTCTGGTCACTCTGCTGTCCATCGGGTCCTGGCGGTTTTTTATTAGGTACAGACCGACGCATTTTTTCAAAATTTTTCGGTGGTCCTAGACTTTCCAAGTACCGCTGTCTGAAAGCCACGAAATCTGTCTGTCTATAAATTGCGGCTATCTCTTCTGGATCGACATCACGAACGTCATCTCCACCACCCGAACACACGTTCGCATCCACAGTTGTCGATTCTGGAGACAATCTCTCGGAATGGGCTCCGCCATAATATGGGAAACGACTGTAATTAAAATAGCGTCGATTAGTAAACAATAACAATTGATCGAACGAACAATTAAAAACTATTCAAACATCGAATAAAATGTATCAACTCACCAGAAATCATAAGCCGATCTAGAAGACATGCATTCATAAGAGCCGTAGAAAGGATTCGATTCGGGTGATGTAGCCACGTACACCGGGCTGCTTGCCATCTTGGGTATCATCATGATGGGGTTGAAGTCGTGCCCAGATAATCCTGAAGGGTACGTAGTGTGTACAGGAAGGTGATGATGGTGATATTGGTGATGGTGCGGAGCTGCAGAAACGGCTGCTGCCGCTGCAGCTGCTGCGGCCGCCATAAACGGATTGTATTCAGCCGCATATCTGTGTGGATGATATGAAGCATCAATTCCACTTCCGTCTAATGGACTGGGGGGCACGTGGTCAGCTATTTGAGGTGATACGGCAGGTGCCCTGTATACGCTAGGAGCGACGACGGCTGCGGGTGGTGGAGGTTGCGTTTCAGGCGAAGAACGAGCCAAGGGCAAACGTCCGAGTGGTGAGCGAGCCAAAGGCGATCTAGCTGAAATCGGAACAGGACTTTTGTGCGCCACCGCTGCAGAACTTGTCAAATCTAATGGTACACCCACGTCCAATTCCATTCCGTCCACCTCGTCATATTCCTCAAACTCGACCGGATCAATCTCTACTTTGGCAACGACTTCGGGTGATTTGTTTACTGTCAAATCCAAAGGAGCGGAATCGACTTCATCCATTTTTGTTTGATTGAATGTACTAAAAATAAAAATAATAAATCAGACCAAAATAAAAGGTGAAATATGAAAATAAAATCCGCATAAAATAGGAAAACAATTTAAATCTCATTAGTTGTAAAATTTAGATGATTTTAACAACTCATAAAAATTATTGTTATGAAAAAATATTATGTTCTAAAGTTACTTCATTAACCCTGTACGCATAAAATAGATATTTTAAAAATGAAATATGCGATGTTACAGCCATTTGTACGATTATTTATTTAATTTTAATGTCATTGTTGATAATATTAAAGGGAAAAATATAACTTCTAAAACTTTTATCTAATGTGTTAAATGTTTTCACAATAAAGCGTATAATTAAAAAATAAATATTGAAATGTCCACTTAAATATACATTTCTACATCCATCTAAAATTTTGTAGACTGTGATCACCCTCTCTAGGTTTAACAATAAAAAACAGACGCCTAAGGTTTAATTTTTGCACATCGTCGTCTTACAATACATAAATCAAAACGTTAGAATTAGAATTTTAACTATTATTGCAATAGGACAATTGATATAATCAAAAATCTATAGTTAAACTCTGTCGGTAAAACTGATCATAAAATGTTACAGATTATCTTAACAGCTATTGTTGTTTTTGTCTGGAATCAGATAATTTTCCAATACATTATTTATTGTTTGATAAACTTTTTTTTAAATAGATTCGATAAATTTGATTTATATATTTGTATACTAAAATAACAAATGCTTAAAATATATTCATTTAAAAAAATACTATACATTCCCGTTAAAAAAAATGTCTCATAATTTGATACCACTCAAAAACTAATGAAAAAACAATTGAAAAGTATTAGAATTTTTGACGCATCAATTGAATTGATTACAAAATATTTGATAAAATATCGTTTTAATATGTAGACCTATTTATTGATAATTTTAGTTAAAATTACTTGAAAAATATTAAGTTACAAAAAAATAAACAACAAAATACAATAGTATTGTGCGTAGTCACTTTTTATAAGCTAAAAGCTTCTATGTATTTACGGCGTATTTTCATTAACAGATAATTATAGACAAATAATAATGCTATAGAATAGTTTATAATTTTATGACTTACTCGAAATAAAGATTTTTTAATGTGCGCGCTGTGTAGCCGGTCGAGTGTTCAACAATATTTTGTAATTTCTACTGATCGTCACACACCGTCGGATAGCAGTTTGGGAACTGTCAAGGGCTAAGAAATGTTAGTGCCTTTTTGAAGCGTCCACATGTCCGGCGATGAAGGCGGCGACAGTGGCTGCGGTTTGGCAGTAGTAGAGGTGGAGGTGGTGGTGGTGGTGGAAGTGATGATGATGTTGACCGGCAGAGTATTTACCTACAGTGCAACGTGATCATTTTCAAAAAGGTCCCTTTAACCTTCACGGCGAGTGTACTTAGGTATATTTTTACATTGTTTGGGACTATAAAATAAGGTCTAAAAAAAGGAGTTCTCACGGAAGTGTTTAAAAACGTGCAAATAAAAATATGCACTTGAGAGATACTACAATGAACATACGAAATCGGTAAAACTGGCGATTTTTTGACCTACGATTTTTTCGGTGACCTGTATTTAACCCTCTGTAAAAGACTATAACAATAATTTTAACATGATTTTTTTTACTGTCTGTAACCTTAAGCCTATTTTTATTGTTCCTACGAATTCTCCATATTTTCTGCAAAGTAGACGCTCATTTCTAATATTGTATGACAAATGTCTAGAAATTGTTTTATATTATATTCTGCTGTTTCTCTCCATAAAAAAATAATTTTAAATAACAATAATAAGTTATAAAAATTAATTTCTTCAAAAAAACTCTGAAATACGTTTACAATCTAAACCGCAAAACAAAATTATTAAGTAAGAATTTTTAATATCGTCAAAATAACAATATATTGGAAATAGTATTACAAAAATATTTTTAGTATATAAAGAACCTGAGATGTTCTTGTTTTAAGTTTATCGTATAATTCTAATTCATTGATCTAACTAAAATATGGACAAGAGATAAATAGATGAAAAAAATTTAAAAATATGTCTTTTTGGCTTAAGTACCGTAACCCATTGTACCATCATTGGGAAACGTTAATGTTACGCTTTATGAAGTATGAAAATATTTTACAAAACCTTTAAATTTTTTATCATATTTACAGGTTTAGATTTAAACCTTATAGTTATAGTTTCATAATTCTTGTTGCATTAAATAAAATTAAAATATGTTTGGTTATCACAATTTTGGGGTTTCTAAAAAAGGGTTAAAACCTTATTTAAAATTTTTCATGTATGAAAAAATCATAAAAATTAGAATAAATCTCGTTTTTCTAACTTAAAGGTTTGAATTGCAAATACCACATTATTTTTGAAATAAATTAAACAGAAGGTAACTAATAAGCTAAATTGACTATTTACTTTTAAATTATATAAAAGTACTATTTCTAATAAAAAGAAATATTAATGGCGTATAAATCAAACAAGGATATCTTTAAAAATACAAATTATGTTATACTTCTGCTGCTGAAAAACATATTAGTTATAAATACATATATAATAATTATTTAACTTGTGTTTTAAATAAATATTTCAAATAAATTTTTAATAGTTTTTAATTTGAATTGAAATATCATATTAAAAAAAAATGTTGTTCTCAATTATAAATTAACTTTAACTTGGACAAAACTGCAAAAACACATTTTACAAAGTGAACTTTTTTTTAAAAAGTCAAGAAATAGTTTAAGAAATTAAAATGAATTTAATATTTTATACTATTATTATTCTCACAGTCAGCATACAAACTTTGCAATCAGCCAAATTAGAAAAATTATTGAACGAAAATAATGGTTTGATTTTAAATTTAAATTTTTATATCTTTTTTAAATACCTTAAACTACGCTACTTTTTACATAACTACGTAAATTACGCTGTTTTTTCAAACAATTTTCCTTGTACAGAATGTTCGGTAAGTATAGAAACAGGTCAATTGTTATAAGTAATAAGAACAATAGAAACCCGTTCTAACTTACTGAACCCTCTGTATATAAAATTGCTATAAGATTGATATGGAGTAACCTCATTGTGATGGAGATTTTAATTACACGAGATGAATAAATATAGTCATTTGTCAAAATTGATATTTCTCAATTATACTAATTACAGATAATTCTAGCATTGATGCGAACCTGAGAAAGTATTAATTTTACTATGATGTGTTTATTATTTTTTTTTTGCGACTTCATTACCTGATTTTTGATTAAAGTATTTAAGTTACAATGGCTAGCACAATAATTATTCTAGAATATATAATCCACTCTAAATTATTTATGGTAGATTATAAAACCAGACCATGGTATAATATTCTTAATTGTTTTGTCAATAACTGTATTAGTTATAACTCTGTTAATAATCTTGTTCAAACAAAAATTAAATTTGATATGTCATGTTACAATGGAAGGAATATATAGTATATGATTTTCATTATACTTGTATAAGTCGTAGTTTAAAAGCACGTTTATAAATGTCATTTATTAAAAAATGTAAGTCAATTTGTGTTGTCTAATGTTAATGTTAATTAAAAGAAAATTATTTTTATTATTCATTTATCTATTTTCTTTTGATATTACATTCTAAATTTTTTTAAATAAAATCAAAGTACATTTATTTTATTTTAACGTATTTAAATATGAAAATTTTTATCAAATATTATTGTTTAAATTTTTAGTATTTCTAAAAATATTTTTCATATTTAACTATAAATTGAAAGTTATATTCCAATTTTCAAATTCTGGATACGCCAGAAATGAAAAGTTTACTGAAACACTACCCGTCACTGTAGTTTTCCCTCGTTTAAAGAAATTTCTTATTCATTTTAAAATTATTTTAGCCTGTGATTTTTTTTTTATGGCTCTGATTTATTTCCTCAGCTCTCATTTGACCAACTTATTTTAACGATACATCAAATGATCACAACTATTATCTCGTTAAAGTTATTTTCCTCAAAAATTGAAAAAAAATCCACTTTATCAATTAAATAGTTATCGAGTCCACATTTTCCATATAGACAATTAAAACCATTCATTTTTAATGTTTTGAAAGTATTTATTGTCCAATTAGATTTGATATGATAACAGGTTTCAACTACAAAATTAAATAATTTTACTTTGTAATTTATTAATTTATTGACTTGTGTGTGTTACTACCAATCTATAACATTCCAAATTTTTTGGTAACATGTTGCTATATAAATCATAAATCCAAAAGAAAAATTATTTTCAATTTCATCCAAATTTAATAAAAATTTTTACAATTATAATCAAATTTTATAATACTCTAAATTGAGTAAATTTTTTAACAATATTTTGATAAATTTTTTTAATTAAAGTAAATTATTAAAATTCATTATGTTCTGAATATTTCAATTGTAGAATCTTTTTTAACACTAAAAGTTATTTAAAAATGATTATCATTTAAAAAATATTGTGTATAATATAATATATACTATGGTGCAATAGAATGTATATAATTTTTTAATATAATGTATTACATAATATTATATATTTCATTATTATTGTCATTATTTGTATCAAATAATGTATATAAATTTCATTATCTTAGAAGTTAACAATCTAAGATAATCAGTGAATTTCGTATATCAAACTGTCATTTAACTGATTTTATGGTTTTATTAACAACAGTAATAGTTTTTAATAAAAGTAGACAATGAATGATAATTTATATTTCAAATTTGTATTTATATTACATATAAAAGTCTCCAATTGTAAAATTACAACTAATACGTAGTTTCAAATAGTTTAAATTGTATGCTTTCTTTATTTACAGATAGTACTCAGATTGTATACTCAAAAAGTACACGAGGAATAGATTTATCAAAATATGCATACGGAGAGTACATTAAAAATGAATATATCATAAATGGTTCCGAAAATATACTTATTGGAGACCTAAAAGAGGTCACTTTAGAACAATATCATTTTGCAACGCTGAACAGATCATATAAATATTTGCACTTGTTAATATGTTATCATAGTTGTACTTATAAAATTATTAAACCATATAAAGCAATTATTAATATTACTGAAGCAGCTAAAAGGATTGCAAATTCATTGAAAATAAACCAAGTAGAATCATCAGGGATCGAGAAATTGTTAAATATGTTAAATAATGAAATTGATAATATGATAAGTCCATCAAGTTATAAGTTTTTTTTTTTAGCAAAAATCCAAAATGAAATAGGCTCGTTGTTGCATATTAATTTTATAAACTCTCACATAGATGAAAATTTACTAAAAAATTTAGAGATGGACATTTTGTCTGATCATTTTTTTAGTACTGTTCTTGATGATGAAATGAAAAAACACTTTTGGCCTATTTACAAGATGAAATTTATTGAAGATTTTATTAAAGCTACGGGCTGTCTCAACAAAAAAATAGAAATAGAGTATCCATTATAATAAAATCATTCATAACTTTTGAAAGTAATTTTATTAGAATAATTTTAAATACATTTTAATAAGTATACATACATGCATGAAAACCCGTATTTATTAAAAAAAATAACATGAAAATTTTACTTTATTTTTAAATACTTGTTTTAATTTATTTTTTTCCAATCAATGAAGTAACTATTTAATTATTTAATAATTGCGTTGGTTTACATTATGAAAGTTATAAATGATATCTATTATAGGGGTGTTGATTAAGTTTTCACGTTAATATCCCGAAATATACTTATTGGAGACCTAAAAGAAGTTATTTTAAAATAATATAATTTGAAAACGCTGAACAGTCATATAAATACTTGCATTGGTTATCACTATAGGTACTATAATCAAACAACAGAGAATTGAATACTGTATATTATAATTTTCTTTATTTTTAAATAAACTGAAATAATTTCGAAATTATTGAAAAAAAACTAGATAGATTTATTTGGAGTTGAGAGGTTGTTAAATATACTAAAGGTAATGTTTGAAACTATTAATAATGAAGATGATTATGATTAAAGACCATAATTCGGTGTTCAAATATTTTAAACAAGTTTATCTAAATATTTTTCCAATTACACTTAGAACAGGTTACACTGATAAAAAAGTAAAATAATATTATGGTAACAATATTTCGTATAAAAAAAGTCTGTCACTGAAACTAAGTATAAATTCTATTTATAAACAAAATTATAATTTATTTACCTATTATTAAAAAAATATTTGAATGTTTTATTATTATTTATTTAATAATACAGAGTATCATTATAATTATAATGAAATTAATGGCAATTTATTTATTTAATGATTTCGAAATCATTCAGAGAAAACATAACTACAAATTTATCATTATCAGATATATAATAAACAATTTTCATGATTATTAATAACAATGACATATTATGTTAAACCAAAATATTATTTCAAAAAAATATTTCCTGTATATAATATTGGGTATTATTGTATATGAATATATATATTTTTTTAATTGTACTTATTAAAGCTGATTTAGTGAATATATATCTTACATTTATTACGTTGATATTAAGAATTAATTGCCTGGATTAAAACTTACTGAAGCCTAGAATGACAATAACGTGATTCTTTTTTTAAAAATATTATCAAGAGTAAAAAATAAAATAAAAGTAAAAAATAAAAACGCATTTAAAATATGTAAACATTATAAATGTATTATTTTCATGTAAGATTCACAGAATCATCAAATCGATTTTTTACAATTATAATAATAATACTGTGTTTATTTGTTGCAAAATATGAAATTCCATACAAAAAGAAAAATATAATTTTCACACATATATAACGAGTACGGGTAATTAATATTACATTTCGATTAAATTCATTATACAAATTAATACACATTTCATCAATAATAATAATAAATGATTTTGACATCGCAATAATTTGTTATTGCAATGAAAATTAACTGTAATAACCCATGTTTACATACTAAAAGGAATGAAAATAATTAAATTATATGATACAAAGCTATACGAATATTTTAAATTTTGTTATTTTTAAAAAATTATATATTATCAAAAAATTGATTTTACTAGGATACTAGAGCAATATATTTAATTTTTTAAAACACGAGAAATAATTTGACGACTTTTTTGTGTATCGCGAATAATATCTTAAATAATTGACGTATACTCTAGCATAATGATAAAAAAAAACAAATATTATCTAACTAATCAACTTAATAAAAAAAATTGACTAGACTTTTGTTACATAAAAATATAACAAGTAATCCAAAAGTATGCAATAATAACACCAATCCACATCGTATTTTGATAAATTTCTTTAGACTTGTAACGGATCAGCATTACCTTAGTCTTCACTCGTGCAGGTAAAAAAAAAAAATACTTGATGTGACTTGTTGACGTGTGATTTCGAAATCACAAAAGGTGTAATCGTTAAATTAATTTTTTTGTTGAGAGTTAAAATCAGTTTATAATAATGACATTTTTTTTTTTGTAAACAATGGCGAAAAATTTTAATTTGAATGTTATAATTTTTTTTTAATAGTTTTTTTTTTTACTAAAACTAGTTTTAATTTAAGTTTACAAAGTTATTTAATTGTTTTTCGATGTGCATTGGAGGTTAGTATTATTATTTTTGTATTAAATTGTTTGATATTTGTGATGTGTTGAGCATAAATTAAACAACTGGAATTTACAAAGAGTAAATAAACTTCGTTGTGTTGTTGTTTCTATTTACATGTATAGATCAAGTCACATTTTTTTTTATAGATTTGTTAATTTTAACTTGATGTTATAAAATAAAATGTCTATACTTCTTTTAAAAAGAAATAGAAATAAATTACTCCAAGTTTTTTGGTAGGTTAACAAAAAATAAAAAATAACAATAATAATATTTAACAATAAACGAAAGTGCGATGGGAACCGATTTTCTTATGCTCGGGCCACCGCATTCTATCGTCATGGTGAAAATACCCTCAGACTTCTTAACAGTTTAGCTAATACGTTAGCCAATCCTTCGGCGTGCTTGGTTAGTGTTTCCGTGCAAACGTCAGTGTCCACTAGTAGACCATGGAACGTGTGTAGTACGTCAGTTACTTTAAGTATGAGGTTACGAGTTTGCAGTGGCGATGACGTATGTTTTGTCATATTTCCACTAAGTACTGTCATCCGACGTAATTGCGTTACACATTGTGATAGATTGGTTTGAAATTCAGGACTTTTAGGGTTCATGTAACATCGTATAAGAATTTTTGACGATGTCACTAGCTGCCTAGCTTCTTGACACAGTATGTCTTTAGCTTCCTGTAAAAATTATTACGTTCAAATTGAGTACTTCATGATGAGAAAATATATTATATTTTTGAACGTACCTGAAATTTGCTTTCGTCTAATTGTGTGCCACCTCCTTGTGCTTGAGCAGCGTTACACTGTTCACTAAACTCGTTCAATCGATCAATTAATTCATTTATAACCGATACTGCATCCCTCTGTGTTGTATAACTACTACTAATACTACCGTTTCGCGAGAGGGTTTCCTAAAAATTATTCATTAATAATATGCATATTATATTAAATGTAAGGTTATTACAAATGTTGTTAATAATACCTGAGAAGGAGCTGGCGGAAGAGGAGGTTTTGTAGACAAAGTGGAGTCAATCCTTGGAGGTACTTTCGGTTTGACTCGCGGGAGAGTCATATTTTGGGCTCTTGTAGGTAAAAATGGTAGTTGCTGGTTATCAGGGCTACGTGGCTTAGTTTTAGAACAGCATGAAAATCCCGGCAAATTTTTCTCGTTAGTGGCATTAGGTCCGTCTGGAGTAGTGACAGAACTAGCCGAGGTGACATGAATGTTTCGGGTATCTTCAAATTGCACAGTAGTAGGTAACGGCTGAGGTTTTACAGAGTGATTACCAGTGACCATAACAGGTTGATATTTTTGCGATTGGCTCACAGATGGTATGTTAGTAGGTAAATTAGTTAGTACGGGTGGTAAGTTAGTAGACAAGGGAGGTAAATTAGTTGATTCAAAAGACTTTATGGATGACGTTTGTAAAGCAGGTTTAGGAGGAGGAGGTATTATGAACGATGATATTTGTTCTGAGGTCAATACGTTTCCCTGTTTTTCTTCTTGCTTTCCGTTAGTCTGGGGAGGTGGTGGTATGGTCATAGTGGCTAAAAATGACTCTAAGTCTAAATTCATTAAATTGGAATTATTCTTAAATCCTTGGTCTAATACTGAATCTATAAATGTTATAAATGAAGATAGTTAATTTTATAATTCCATTATCAACGAGTATAATTGATTAAAAATTATACCTAAAAATCTATCTGAAGCGTTTTGTTGATTGTTGTGGTCGTAGTCCGCGAAAAAGGTAGGCGGTAAACTACATGGATTACCTGCTGATGCAGTCGATCCATTAGTTTGGTCATTGTTGACTTTTAATTTATCTGTGGGTGGTGGTAACAATGTTAAATCAATGAGATCTGGCTCTAAGTATAAACTATTTCTTGGCAAAGATCTATTATCTTCTTGTAAATTTTTCCACAGTTCCTATATTTATTAATAATAGCAATACGTTTTTATTTGTATATATTTAATAACTAATAATTTTTCTAATTAGAAAATATATATTTACTTGAAGAGCTTCGTGACCGGATGAAGCGACAAGACCCTCAGGGCTATGCAATCCAAAACTTATATCAGAATCCCTATTAGAATTACGACCACGATGAGAAGGACTTGTTGAAGGAGTATTAATAGATTCTGTATCGCTCTCCATATCTCCCAAGTTAAGTGCTTGGACTGCAGCAGTTATACTGTCTTCAGAACCTTTCTACAATTTCAAATATTCAAAATTATTATTTTTGAGACGACTTGAATAATAATAAATAATAAAAAATATTTTTAACATACTTGAGCTAATAATAGTAAGGAGTCACTATGTTTTAGTTGACCTAAATGAGGAGGTGGTGGGGGCAACGATATTGAACCATCAGATGATATGTGAGATCCATCCGAGTCACTTGATTCTCGTTGGTGTCTGTTTAGATATTGTTCAGAATTTTCTACTAGTTGTTGCATTTCAGCCACTCTTTTCAAAACTTCTTCATTATGTAATTCCGCTGATTGGTCGTTACCTTCTAATATTTCCATAGACACCACGCTTTGAACGTCAATTCCACTTTTATTTTTGGCATCACCATTCAAATTGAAACTTATATGACCATTTGGTGGCCTTTTTAAAGACCTATTAAAAATATTTAGTATCGAGTTTATTGAAAAATTATATTAAATAAATAATACTGTTTAAATTTATTACATGGTATTCATATTTTTATCCACATTTCCATTTTGCATACCCGCCCATATAGTTTTGTTGAGCGACCCATAATCATTTGGTTTCAACTAAATAATTTTTAAATTGTTTATTAAAAAAAAAAATTAAAACATCGTAGAAAAAGAACTTTACAAAAATGAACATACCATATCACGATTAAATGGCGTATACATAGGACTGAACGCAAAATTAGTTAGTTTTTCTTGTTCATTAGCATTTATAGTAGATGGTTCATAACTCCAAATTGACGGTTTGACAATGTGATGTGAGTAATATTGAGGCGCTGAAAATTAAAACATTCAAATATTATCGACATAAATTGATAATGCAGCAACATTTTTACCATACGTACCACTATCAATTATTGAAGAATCGTTCTCCCTATCTATGGGCAAAGACAAAGCCATCAGGAGTTTAAAATAACCTTTGATCACAAGAATAAATTCGTCTGCGTCACGATCTTCCATACAAAAGCTAACTTCCTATAAACATCATTTTTATTGAGCATTCTATTCAAGTTAATAAATTTAATAAAATAAAAATAGCACCTTTTGTATAGTATTTTGTAAAAATAATGTGACTTTACTAGAAATTTGATCTTCTTTTTGTACTTTTATCATAGTAACTTGTTCTATGTCTGCTAAAGGAACTGGCTATTAATATATAAAAAAAAACATTAAAACAAATAGTTTTGTATTATATATATTAAAAATAATTATGACTGATATAATTTATATACAATAGATTCTGGCATTTAAAAATCATACTGTATAATTTGATTAGAAAGAACGTTACAACTTTTGGACTTCTCTCTATTCCACAAATTTTAATAAGATTATTTTCATGACTAAATATTTTAAAAGGCTTAAAAAATAAACCCACTTTTTAGTTTTGGTTTAGTACATTTTTTGGAAATACATTTTGCTCTCATTTTGAAACTTTACAATCTATTGACATTTCGTTCTGTTTTTTGTTTTGTATTTAATTATAAATATAATAATTTTAGTGAATTTTAAAAAATGTGTAAGATAAATGGAAAATAAATGTTTATATTTTATTTGAAAATTTGAAATGTTGTTTATATCATAAACTATTATATATCATAATCAATAACAAAGGCAACATTTTATATAAATTTCAACAAAAATTAAGTAACATACTATTTTTAAAATATATTTATTTTTATTTAATTTGATACTAGTTTTTAAAATCATAAGCTTACCATACTATTACGTAATCCCACAATTTGACTTATTCCCATTTTTGGACTAATTAATATTACTGTTTCTAAATTACAATCCTGTAAATAATATACAATTGTCAAAGTTCTAATAAGGTTTTAGCTCGCAAAAAATCAAAGCAATTTTACGAAACTTACACGAACGTTTGTTGAAAAACATTTAGCCCCGTAACTAGGAAGTTCGGAAATAATAGTCAAGTAGTAGAGCTTAGCTTGTAGGGCGGTAAGTGTTTTATAATTAGTTCCCGTCATTGTTTGGTTAAGTTTTAACAGATGTGTCAACAATTTTCGCAACTCTTTTCTTTTCATAGATTCCATAAGCGAAATCGGCACAAACTTTTCTAATCCGAATTCTCTCCTAAAGTTAACAAAAAAAATATGTATCACTTTAAACGTCCCGTTTGATCTGCTTATAACTAAGTTGATATAACACAATTTTGTGTTTCAAATATAAATTTCTCATCATAAAAATATATATACTTACTCTATGGCTTTAACTGTGACCTTACAATAAGGTATATTATTTGCCATAGCATGTTGATGAATATGTAACGCTGCCAATCTCAACGCGATGTCATACTTAAGTTCTGGAGCGTATCTTTCTTGCACAACATCGTTACAGCACTTAATAGAAAAACAAAATACAATGTAAATAGTGTAAGCAAAATTGGGTTATTTTTATAGTAAAACTAATACTTGTAAGTATAAGTATTCAAACGCATTCAAATCTTTCTGAGCTAAATCACAGGCATCCCTAGGTACGAAAGCAACCCGAAACAAACACCTCAAATTATGAGACCCCGGTCTGGATGCTACCTACAATAATGGTTATAAGGATTAAACTTTGAAATGAATAAAAAGAAAATTGTGCACAATAAAAAACAAACCTTAGCCAAAGTGTGTTCGGGATCCAACAAAGTAAGTTTATGTCTCCGGAGACTTTTGACTTGCTCGAGCACCAATGCAAAGTGTTCGCCGGCCTTAATACATAATTTATTTTGTAATGAAGCCACCACATCTTTTACTTTGGTCGTCGAGTCGTATTTGAACGATTTGGTTTGTCCATTTTCCAGGAAAACTTTAAGCACATTAGGTAACAAAGCAATGTTGGGATCGCCACCGCTGAATGCAGATACCTTTAAAAACATTTCTACGTGTAAAGTAAAGTACTACTAAATTAAATAAGTTTTTTGTAAATTTTTAATTTTTAATATTTAATAATTTATTTCAGAATAATATTTGCTTTGGCACTTATGTTGCTTTGTTTATGTCCACTTGACATAAACTTACATTCACACTCAATGGTCCATTTTATCAGATAAAACATATAAATTGATTTTTAACACACCCTAATCTACATAAGTTAATTAACCCTTATTTTTGACATTGTAAACAAGAAATTATTACAATATAAAAAAAAATGTTTTTATTCTTACCGGACATGATGGCGATCCGTTGACAAGTACACCTTCGGCGAAACGTACACGAGATGGGTTTGACTTGAGCTTGGCTTTTTTTGCCGAACTGAGTAACGCAGATTTTCTGGCCGACTATGATAAACATCAGTTAATGCAAAAATAGTTAGCAAAGATAATAAAAGACTCACATTGTCCAGAGGAGGTTGGCACACGAGTAATGTAATAGTTTCATTACATGACCTGACCAGCTGGATGACATAATCCCTTAGACCATTTTGAACATCTTCATCGTTTATCCTAAGGATTTGATCGCCAGGTAGTAGCTTTGAATCGCTTGGTCCGCCTTCAGTAACAAACCTAATGATACGCATTAATTAAACAAAGTTAATAACTCTCCGATTACTCAATATCAAAATTCTTTAAAATTAAGACAAATAGAAAAATTGTTTTTTTTTTTTAATTTAAATATATATTAATAATATATTATACCCACAATATTATTATTGAATATAATAATTAAATCAATATTATTAGAAATAGGTGAAGTGTCGTATAGTTGAATACGTTGAGCTAATGTTTTTAAACCAGAGAATCAATTAAAGTATTAGAGTACGTCATTTTTGTCTTGAAATTAATGAATAATAAATAAATAAATTTAAGAATTTGCATTATAAAATAAGTTATGCATGGGTGATTTAAAAATTACCGGTGATTAAACTACACTCTATAAAACAACCAATCATTATAAAAACACGCCTACAAAATTTTAAGTAAAAAAAATTCCTACAGAAAAATGAATATCATGTTTTTCAGAAGTAAATTTTTTGGTTTTTATTTATTTATTTTATGCACGTTAAATAAAAATGGATATTTTATGGAGTGCTATTAAATTTGTGATGATTGTTTGTACAATTATTATAATTATAATTATAAATTTATAAAATGATCTATACACTAAACAATATAATATCATATACCATATTATTATATAATTCTACGAATATATTAATAAACGATTTATTTAATTTTATCTTTTATTAAAAACATTATTTCCAAATACATAAATAAGATTATGACGAAATGCGGGTTAGGTTTTTTAATAATAATAATTTATTATTAATATGAATTTAAAATTTTATAACTAGTTATTATATAAATAATAATTTATAATGCTTTATTTATAGCTGTATTTTTATTGTATAATTTTATATTAATAAAAATATAACAATCATCCCACATAGTTGTATTTCATACATTAATATTAACAGAATAAATGTGTTTACGTTTTATTATATTTTTTTATTTTTGACAAAAAGCATAGGTAAATAAAATATGATATATGTATTTATGAAATTTTGTTATTATTCGTTTGAAGTAATTCACAATTGTTTATTTGAATTCAGCGATTCGTATTGAGCACGTAGGTTTGTTGATCCCAAAACTAACAGAAGCCAAAAAAGAAATAGTGAGAGCTATTATTAAAAAAATATATCATAAGATTCAAGCCTCCAGATAACTTATTAATATTGTTTAATTATAAAACACATGTTTAGTACATAAATAAAATTTTATAAATTTATATCTTTAATGTTACAGACTGGAATAAAAAATTAATTAGAAAATTGAAGTCTTTGTAATAAAATTTTTTTTTATACCCGTCAATGAAAGGTGAAAATAGTATTAACTTCCCTATATTCTGTAGTATTTACGTGTTTTGAATTCTAAAAAAAAAAATTTAACTGTCACGGGAAATGTTAATACAAATGGTCATTTCTTTCAATCTTTCTGTTTTCTACTCGAATCGGAAGAGTTCTGAATTTTTAATGAGGGAACCTTTTCATTTCCTTTTTTTGCGGTCTATTGTTACCTGTGCCTACTTAATCTGAATAATAACGTATATTTAAAAACCGCCGTGCACAAATGATTGTGAAATTGAATATCACAGAGCGGTAACGTTTCAAGAAGACCTGTAAATGCTATTAGGGCAGATAAAGCGAGATATGAATGAATAAAAAAAAAAAGAAAACTGTCTACCTAAGTACTAAGGCTATAATAACCTATGTATAGGACATCCGCATGAGCCGATGCTATCAAAAAACCAAAAAGACGTCAATAATATTTTAAATAGAAACACAATGCGAAATAATTGAAAACGAGGGATAAAAATCGTCTGGTCTAGGTAAACATCGGTAGTCTCACACGCAGTACTGCGGTGGATCACATGATTTTCCTTGGTTTAAAAGAGTGAAGAATATCTTTTAATGAAAAATGTTTCGTCGACGTTTTCTGAAAGTAGAGTTAAACTTATGAAATATGTTAATATGGAGTTTATATAGTCTTGCCGATTTATGATGATTCTATTGATTTTTATATTGCCGTGAGCTTTTTGTTAACACCAATCTATATTCTTTACAATGTTCATTAGCACGTGACATACTTTCATGCAATGTAAAATAAAAAAGTATTTTTCAACACCGATTTACACATATTTTACATTGTTATGCAAAGTAAATAAATGAAATAATATTAAAGCGCGTCTATTATATACAAAAATTTGATACTGTGTTTAACTATTTAGCCCTTCACTGCAAATTAAAAATTGCACCTTGCAAAAAAATTGTTTTCTAGAACAACTTTCATTATTGGGAATTATAATTGGTTCAAAAGTTACCGTTTTTTTTAGTTGATACTACGGCAACTAAAAATGTCTCAGAATTCGGTTTTTTGTTATTTTTGTTTTTAATTTAATGACATTAATAATGAATGCTTTGATGCAGTGCTGAAGTATATTGATGATATATTGTAAAATTATATCATTACATTGATGAAATATTGTATTATTAAATTCAAGATAATAAGATAATAAGATCCTATAATACGGAACAATTTTATGATAATATATTATTAAGCTAAAAAAAGACAACGATGAGGTGGATATTTAAGTACTTATTCATACATACATAATAATTTATTACAAAAAAGTGTAAAAGTTTATATCTTGAGTTAGGTACGCGTTATCGACTTGACAATAGTTTGGTATGTGTGGTTCAAAGTGAAACTACCAATTTAAGTAAGTACACTTTTTTTATTTATAAAAACAAACAAAAATAATAAAAAATGGTGATTATATCACCAAAGATTACTATAAATAAAATAGTTTTGCATTAGGCAAGGTTCATTTGTTAAACATTTTCAAATTGTTCTTTACTATTTAGAAAAAACTAATCAATATATAGTATACTTTTTTTGTCTCTTTTTTAGACGTTAAACACTGGATATAACTGTAGATGAAACTTTTATATAATTTTATATATTAATACTATACTTAAAAGCATTACCAATAAGTAAGCTTAAACAATTGTGCGTATTGGGGGTAAAATTATTATTTTTTTCTTTTATATAAAAGCTTAGAGCAATAAAACTTTCACTTTTATTAACTGCAACTAACCAATGTAAAGCACCTTCCAGTTTTCTGGTAATGTAATTTTGTTCTGAAAAGATTATTACTTCACTGAAACTTGTAATAGATGTTAGAAAGTTCTATTTTTGAATAGCTTTTAGAATGAAAACGCAATATCATATAAAATTGTGTATGCATGCCAATCATGTCTATGATCTGAATATTTTTGGGGAGTCTCTTAGTATATATCCACTAAATTATTTATACTAGTATAACAAGAAACAATATGACCAATGTATGTAATTCATATGACAACATTGAATGCTGTCTTATTATTTACTAAAATAAAAGTATTTTTAATTATTGAACCATAAAAATTACAAATGTAACTTTTACACTTTTTTTATAAGTATTCGTAAAAACAGTCTTAAGTGTTAAAATTATAGTTTTTGGTAATTAGTTAGTTTCAATTTACACCAATCCCATTTCTTTTTTAAAGTTTTGATAGCTAAGCCTTCCCCAAAATAAAAAAAAATCAGATAATTATACAGTATGTTGTATACAAATATTTTTAAGTGAGAGAAAATTCTCATTTGCCTTTGAAAATTTTATTTCTAAATCAGCCTTCATCACATTTTTAACAATATAAATGGATCTTCAGAGAATTTGACAAAATAAATAATTCAAATAATTTTTTTTTATTTTATATCTTTTGAATTTTGGAGATATAATTCATTGTACAATGATCATTTTCATTTCAAACTTTAAAGTTTGAATTGAGAAGAATGTTTTTTATTACTTTAACTCAATATGATTGATATATAAGCTTATAACTCAAGCTTATACATAAATTAAATACACAACTTAAAATTGTATGACTTCCCTAAAAATCATATCAAAGATATAAATACATACGTTCTTTAAAAGTTAGGGGATAGTTTGAGTAGAAAAAAAGTTTCACCGTTTAGGACCAACTACACTATTAATTATATTTATGATTTGCCCAACCACTCAAATAAATACCGTGGTTATCGTTTTTTTCCTAAAAAAATATGATAATTTTTAAAAAACCCAACTTGAGACACCTGGTCTCCACGTGCGACAAATTATATCGACAATGTCATTAAAAAAATATAAAAACAAACTTCAACAGTAAACACAAATGAGAAATGTATTCTTCAGAAATATTTTTACAGAATATTTGAGTCAAGATTTTTCTTGATTCCCATTAGGCTTTGACTGTTGGAGGCTTATAACTATCTCGTATTATTTAAAAAATAAAATTCTTTAAATATTGATTTTTCTCAGGGCCAAACTTTTGTTAATTTTTCAAAAACTCAAGAGTTCCCTTTTAATTTTTAATAACAGATGTATGAATGTCTTATTATATTGATAATATTTCAAGAAAACAATCTTAGAAAATTCGTCTGGTATAAAATAAATGTATATAAGTAATGTATGTATGTATATCAGTGTATGTAATAACTTTTGTAACATAAAAACTCAAATCTAACAATATTGTACAGGTTGCTTTATTGAGATCAAATTGTTTTTATAGATATTTAGCTGCAAAATAAAGGCAGGTTGTTAGAAAATATAAAGTATTTTTGGTTTCAGTTTTGTTTGAATGCCAAAAAGCTTAAATTCATTTAAATGTTACATTTAAGTCTGAAATAATTGATTAAATAAAGAAAAAAAAATGTGAATTCAGTTAATGAAAATAAAATTAAAGTCTTTAATTTATATCTGATCTGGTTTATAAATAATTTTTAATTGTCATATATTAAGTAGTTTTGTTTTAAAAATCAAAAATATTCTTTTCAGATGATATGTAAAATAATTTTACTAATAAACGAAATTTCAAATAAATATTCTGAATTTTTGAATTATTTCAAATACATGTTTTAGTTTCAAAAAATAAATTTTAGACATTATTTTATTATAGTGTTATTTATATAATTGAAGCGTATGTACACATTATAATGGTTCAAAGTTTAAAAGTTTGGTCAAAGTAATTTACTAAGTGAGTTCCCACATTTGAACTTAGTTCTCATTGACGGTATAATTCATTGTTAAGAAGTTTTGAGGTTTGTGTAAAATATGGAAAACATAAAAATAATAATAATACTATTATTGATTATTTTTTCATATTTTCTAATTATTATGGTTTCAAAAGTTAATATTTAAATTTTAATCAAAGAAAATCGCAGAAGTAATTAAAATATTTACTTTAGTTTAATATCTCTTATATTGGTTCTTCATTTGAACTTATCTTTAATTGTACTTAGTCAATTGAGTGTATTTAATCTTAACAGTAACCAGAACTGTAAATAAGACCTCAAATTATTTTGTTGTTGAAAATATAAGTTGTTTTATGATTTGTCGACAGTAAAAAATATTATTTTGGTAAAAAAAAAAAGCTTCAAAGAACAGCAAGATTGGTTATCACATTGGATGGCCACCTCATAGTCACTGGAGTATTATACTTATTTTTTTATTACTGTCTTTTTAAGATTATCTATTTTATTTTTTCATGGATGAAACTCTTCTGGGAGCACCTCTGACTACAACATATATTATTTATATGAAGTATAAACATAATATATCAACGGTATAAATGACGGTTCGTCGTAACAAAAATAAGTTTCAGAAAAAGATAACTCAGAGGCAATTTATAAAAGCAGAGGTTTTATTTTGATTACATATAATTCATGTCTGAAAAATTGTGATAGTTAAATTGCACGCAATCATATCTCAGTAAGATGATTTTTACCTATTATTAAAATGAATACTTTATTTATCAATCAATACAACTATGATCTACATGGAATAAAAATCAAGCATTGCTTAGGGTTCTTGAACAAACTCTAAGATATATTTCATAAAGTGATGTGCTCAAGTATTTTCATGAAAAGAACTTAAACATAAGGACATTTATTATTACTACCTAATCAAAATTTATCTTAAACGCGTAACTAGTTTTATGAGGTATATTGTAGAGTTAAACCCTATACCTAACAAGGTACGATCTATGTAAGACAGCTCTTGATAAAAATTCAAATATGTTCCCGTAACAACGATGAATTAAAATTCGTACCAGGGGTACTAATGAGGTACTTTACTACATAATTAATAATTTAGATAGATTTTGCCATTTTGTAATAAATATCATAATTTAATACCAGGAATTCATACGAAAAATTTATAATTTCTGAAGGTGTCCAGTGATGTAGTGTCTCGCTAACGATTTTCATGTAGCCGCCAGACTGTGGCCACTAATGATGTTTATATTATTTAATAAGATATTACCTATAAATGATTCTTATGAAATCCTGGTACTAATATTTTAACATTCATATGAAATTTTCTTTAAACAACTCAATAATTTATGATGTTTATATATAGATAATTACTTAATTTGTCAACTTTGACAGAATAAGTTTTTGAATTTATCTCAATATATATTTAATTGATTTGATGAAACGTTTTGGTTATTTGTCCAGTATTATTATTATATGGGAAGGAGTGTAATGCATAAGAAAAATCATTTGCTTATATCCTCCAAAGTTCTGAATCCGGCATTACCAATAACTTAATTTCTATTTTGCAAGTTCACTTCCGTTCAAAAGTTTATAAATTTAGCAGAACATTTTTTAAATTTAAAGCTATTATTTTATTTGGATTCTTTCAAATACTACTTTAATGATAATCATATGCTAGTCCATATGATTATTATAGTAAAACGGATGACACGCTCAATTACTTACAAAATAAAATTTATTTCAAAACATTATTTTTAGATTTTTTAGTTACATATATTTCCAGATTTATCAATTGTTAAATAATTTTTCATTTCATCCCTTATATAGAGTATTCAGTAAGCAAGGAAAAGGGTTTCTATTGCGTCTTATTGTTTATTGTCAACTTAATTTTTTTAGATGACAATATACACTTAAATTAGCTTTTAATGAAAATGATCTAATTAGGAATATTATTGGTCTTTGAACCAGTTTTTTGGGTTTTATTCAAATTTTTTACATAGATAGAAGGAGTATGGCAGAGAATAGTCTAATGATAAATAATAGTAGCATCCGCGTTATATTTTTAGTCAATGCATATATGGAGGATACAAAGGATATATTTAAAAATAATTCAATTACTTCTAATTCAAAAATAAATAATGTTGGACAAAAAAAAAAATGTAATATAATTATTATTTTAGAAGAAATTTAATTAATAATAAATCTATTACTCTATAAATTATACTATTATATGTTATGAAATATAATTTATACTGAAAAAACTACTACAATAAAATTAACAAATACATTATCAAAATACTTATTCAATTTTTAATAAATCATAGTTTTTTGTTAATTTAATTGTTATTTTGACTAGAAAAAAACAAATTGATCTACTTAACAAATATATTATTAAATTAGCAAAAAAAAAAAAATAGTTCAAATAATAAAAAAAAATACTATTAATGTAACAAAAAAAATGATTGTACATATATTGATGAAAAATTTGTTGACTTTACCAAGAAGTTGTTGCAGTGTAATTTGTGTTAAAAAAATATTTTAACTGTATAAAATTACAATTAAATTATTACTTACCTAACTATAACTGGCTTCTCACTTCCGGCCACAAATCCAAACCCTAATTCTGGATGTCTCCTTAAGTTGACTAATCTAGGTTTAGGATTTTCTTCAATTAAATCAGTTCTGGGATCCTCATAACTAGTAGTTTTCGTGAGATGACTGAAAAAATGAAAAAAAAAAAATTAATTTGAGATTTTGGAGCGTTTTTTTCATAACTAAAAAAAGTATAAAGAACACGACTTAAAGCATTTATACGGATTAGTGCGTCAAAAGTAATACTGTTCAAATTCCAGTCTTGTTTATATAACTTGATGGTGATGACATACACACGCGTTAAGAATAAATGATTCTTTACTTTATGATGCTGGTGCACTATTTTGGAACTTTACAATACACTGACGTTGCAGTTTTGTAAAACTTTCCTTCAATAATATCTCACTTGCTATCAATATATCTGTTATAATACAGTTTTCATACAATAGATACCAATATTAAGCTACAATTGTATAACTTAAATCAATGTTAGTATTTGTTAAATTAATTAAAATTTGTATTTAATAGATCAAAAAGATTACTTTAACAAATTTTCTTATTGTACGCATTGTTATATTGTAAATATACAAATAAAGAGAAAGTTAAAAAAAAAATAGGTCAAAAAATACAGAACATTTTTATAAAAGTTGGGTTGGGTTTCAAAAACAGGTGTAAAGTATAATGAATTAAAAAATTAATTAAATAACTTGAAAAGTAAGTTTACTGTGATTGATAATGCTGAAAAAAATTTTGAAATGCTCTTTTTATTTGTTTAAGTATTTATAAAACAAACCACATTCTTAGCTTTTTAAGATCTAAGAAAATAAATTTAAAAAAACACGGTGAAGCAAAATTTTAAGAACTTTTGGTTCAAAAGGTAAATATTTTATGAACTTTCTAAGAATGTATTAAACCACGCTTTAGTATTATAAATATGAAAACTAACTTCTATGAAAATAAATACTAAAATTTTCATTTTTTAAGTTTATGTATACTTAAATTTAGGCTGGTTGATTTATTATAGTAATAATCATTAATAATGTAACGTTTTCGTTGAAATAAAATTTATTATTTTGATTAAAGATAATTTACATGTATATATATAAATAAAAATAAAATAATGTTTACAAGTATGGACGATCTCTTGCACGCAAATCTTTCCTGGAATCATATTTGTTTGAATCAAATTTTCCCAAAAAATGTACCAAAAGGAGGCTTATTGTCTCTAGTATACTGTACTAAAAATTTATTAAAAAAAAAGTTACAGTAACTTTAAAATACCGTAATATTTTTACGTTTCCGTAATTTGAAATATTTTTTAAAATTCAAAAATTGAAGATTTTTCAACGTTATTATAAGGTGATAATACTAGACTTCAATAGTGTTTTTTAACATAAATATTATCAAAGTAAGAGCCCAGTGAGAGCTGAGAATGTATATGGACAGGTTCAAAAAAAAAAAATAATACGCATACCATGGAAACATTAATATCTTTTCATCTTAGCATTAAAGCTAAACATTATTTAAGTATTAACATTACAAAATACATGTATAATATTATAGATAACTATGATTTTTAAATAATTTATGGTTTAAATATCAGTGAATTTTGATTATTAAACATTTAACTGTCTTTACAAAAATAATGCGAAGATAAATTATTGTATCACTTTATTTACTTAAAAGTGTTCGAAATTCTTTTAACGATATTGTTATCCTGTAGGATCATGTTGTATAATTTAAAAATAATTTTAAAGATTCATATTTTTAAACTTTTATGTAATTAAATATTATCTAATTTATTAAACGATTTGCATATCATTGCTAGTTCAATAAACAATAGTGGCTTACTTATTCATTGTATACTATTTGTCAAAATAATAAATAATGCTCTTAAATGTGAATGTTAATATAATTTAAAAAAATTATAAAAATAGTTATATTTTGTCTTGGTAATCATGCTTTGTAAACAATATTTTAAAGTTGTTTAATGATTATGTAATAAAAATTAATGGCTGTTGAATTCCCGTTTATTTTTTAACTATCACAGTTTAGTACAATAAAATTTAATATTTAAATCGATTATGCTAAGAAACTCAATGGATTTATTGGTTTATGATAATTAATACGTCGTTATGATGCATACTTTAAATGATATTTGAACTCATGCATTTATTACTAAGGCTAGGAATATATGCATTTATAAATTTTAAGTTATTCTAAACACAGATAACACAATTTTTTATTAATTTGAAAACTAGAAATGTGTTATTACTGACGTTATAGTATTAGGGTGATTAGGGGTTGTTATTTACCCTAAAATGAAAAATATCTCTATGCTACTATATAATCTTATGACATAGTTGCACAACCTCCTGAGTTTATAAATGCATATAATTCCTAGCTCTATTTATCACCGAAATACTAAAAATGAGATTTTATAAAAAACTTAGTTAATGATTACAAAAAATATTCAAATAATAATTTTTTTTAATCATCTAATAGTTAATCGTAATTAATAAATAATGAATCCTCATAATTTTTTGGTGCTCGTGTAAAAAGTTCTAAACCATATATATTAATTATAATTCATATTATAAAGTTTTAATTGATTTTATGAATTTATTCATTTAAAGATTAAACAACAACGAAATTAATTATATTGGTTATTATATTTTATATTAATTCATTTTGTCGGAACTATGCATTTTTATAATTATTATTTTTTATGTCTCAAAAGGTTATATATAAATGAAACTCATTAAAATACCTTTCATAATGAATGTATACTGAACACAAACGGTATTTATTTTTGCTTTGAAAAGGAAAAATGAGTTTTTAATAATGTTTTATTGTACGTACACTAGATATATGTAAGATATTTATGAACTGAAATTGACTTCAATAAAAAATGACCAAAGGAATAATTATGTACATTTCGTAAAAAATATACAGAATATATTAAAACAATACAAAAAACCACCAGGAATATTTAGAGATATTAATACAAAAAAAGTTCTATGTCCATTGTTTAAAAAGAAATCATGAAGATGTTTAAAATTTTCTCTGATAAAATATTAAGACATTTTTAAATGTGTTTATAGCCATTAATTTGATGTTTTGTATTTATCAGTAAAAAATATACTTTTAAAATATAACATAATGAAATGTTTTCGGAATAAAAGAAAATTAGTTAGTTTAATTAATTTAAAATGTAAAAAAGTTTTCAAGTATCAAACGTCACAAAAAAAGTATTATTTCATGAAAAATAACAGGTTCATGAAATTAGCCAACTAAAAAGTTTTAGCTTCATATTTGTCACAAAATTTTCTTGGAACGTAATATTCTAATTAAGTATTTTCTATTTTTGAATAAGTTACGGTTAAATTTTGGGTTTTAACATAATAAATCTGATATATTTTTTACGAGGAAAGTTAATTCATTACTTACTTCATTAAACTGTTAAGTAAAAAACTACATTTTAATCATAAAAACCAACTCTTTCATAACTTCTTATTTTATAAAAGAGTTTTGATTGACTAATTTTTAAATCACAATAGAATACACGATATATATATTGGTGGTTTTGAAGGTTTTATTTTATAACCATATTATAGGAAACTAAACACAGTTCTTTCAGTTATATTAAATCCNTAATTTTTAAATCACAATAGAATACACGATATATATTGGTGGTTTTGAAGGTTTTATTTTATAACCATATTATAGGAAACTAAACACAGTTCTTTCAGTTATATTAAATCCTATAAATTTGAGTTTTTGAGGAAATTTAATTTTGAAATAACATGTTCAACTGGCTTCTTTGATATGACTCAAAATTATAGACAGTTATAATTGACTATGATATTTATCATATATTAAGAGTCACAAACTGGTTATTATAACATCTATCTATAATTCAATTGTAGATAAAATAAATTTTTTTTATAATTACATTATAATTAACCCGAGGTAGTTAAACGCAATGATGGCAAGGAAAAATAAAAAAAGAAGAATTACATTATAATAGACATTAACTTTTTGCAAGATTTCACACAATAACAATTTATTGTATTGCATATAGTTTTGAAATAGATTATTTTTATTTTTTAAATAACATTGTGTGTATTTCACAAGACTTTATATTCTACAATAATGACATTGTAAAACAGTAATTTCTTCGTCAAATTATTATCTATACTATACGCATTTAATATTTATTAAAAATAAACGCCTCTTAAAAGTTCATACTTTGTGTCGTGGACGTGCTTTACTAGTAATTAAGAATCCAGTTAACAATTACTAAATTGGAAGACCAAAAAAGAGATGGAGGGATGCTATTGAATGCGATATGAGGACTGATGATGTGAGCGTAGATGATGTGGCAAATCGTGTCAAGTGGAAGTTTAGGATAAGGGTGGCCAACCCCAAGGAGTTGGGGTTAAGGCGAGGAAGAAGAAGAAGAAGTTAACAATTACTAAATTACAAGAAGATCAATTAACAGAAAAAAAAGGCGAATGTATAGTTCAATGCAAGCAATTAAAGAGTGTGAATACTCTTTGTACTGTGTACAATTGAGGATTATTCACAAGAACTTACTTGTATGTTCTTATATATGTGATAAAACGATGGGAATAACTGTGACAGAAAACTATATAGGAGCACACGCGTATTATGAAGCTATTATAAGGGTTGTGTCGTCGTATGCGGTTTATTCATTAAAGGTCGACGACAAGGAATAGGCGGTTTCTATATAATTACGAAGTATAGCATAGCAGATGATCGGAACGTTTTCAATTATAATAATCACTAACATCATTATATATTGTATTAGCTTTGTTAACACAAAGATTAAAAGATTAAAAATTAAAATTAATTAAACCTTTTACTTACAACAAGGATCATAACATAACATTATTAATTAATATATTTATAGAACTTACAGAACCTCTAATGACTTTGGAGAGGGCTAGGATAGGAGTTAGATCCTCAAATGGAATACGATCCTAAGAGCTTGTACTATTTTACCTCAAATTTGACCCCCTAGGGTAAAACTACAAATCTGGACAAACTTGACAACATTTACATAAAATCGATGTTAAAATAAAAATCATTAGAAAAACAAT